TCCTCCAGAGATGTAAATGCAAAGTATCAAGCAACTATAAATCTAATTTTTCCTTGGGTTTGAGTCCTTTCGTGGCCCAAGCGCTTTGGAAGGGCCACTGTAGGAAAATAACCTGTCCCAGTAAATTTGATCACTCCTTTTCAGTGCAGATAATAAGCAAATAATGGAACACAGATATTATCAATTTTCCCCAGAGAAGAACAGTGCAGCACCTGGGGCATCTATCCCTCATCTAACCTGCACTGCATCCACTCCTGGAGTCATATGACAGCACAGGGACATCTCCTCCTGGCAGGGCACTGAGGAACACAGGCACAGCAAGAAATGGGTGCCCTGTGCCCACCCTGGTGACAAGCAGAACTCAGCACTGGGGAAAGGAGTTGGGCTGTCGGACCGTGCTGGTGTCTGCTCCAAATCCAGAGATGTTTTGGGCTCTTGGCAAATTCTGATTGTTTTTTGCCAGAGGGATGGATTATCATCACATTGTTTCCACAGTCGTCCTACAAATTATTTTGATAATAAGGGACCTCCTGTGACATTAAGTACATTTTAATTACAACATTGTCTGTAATGCATATATCTAATTGCAAATAATTATTTTATCATATTTTGTCTGTAGGCCTGTTAGATGCATCAGATATTATCTTCTGACTCAGTGGTACAGGTTAATTAAAATTTCTCTTTTAATACTGTTTCAAAGCCAACCACATAATTTCATCTGAACACCAGCTGTGTTGGTAAAAAATTATTTTTTGTTATTTTTTTGTCAGGCTTGTCCATGGAGGAAAACCCGAGCTGTTTCTGCAGGCTGTAATTACTGCACTGCTTTCTGCAGTCGTTCATTTGCAAAGGAAGAAAAGAAGGAAGAATGTGTGAACATCAGTGGCCAGTGGTTGCTTTGTGTGTTACTGGTTCATTTTGAAGGATTTTTTGTTCTCCTTCTCATGTACAAAAAAGCATTTGAGATCTTCTCTTCCGAAGGAAAACTGAAGATACCACACAGCCTGGTTTGTCAGAATAAACCGCACTCAGGGCTAGGACAATCAGAGTGGTCATTCCAGGTCTTAACAAAGCCCAGCTTAAGGACGATCCCAGTCAGCTGCTCCCTTCCTCATTTATTTTTCCTCTGAGTGATAAAGAGCCACCAGAAGATGGGAGAAAAATGAAAATATAAACATAATATTCAGTCAAAGAAAAAAAAAAAAAGACGTTAGGTTAAATACACCCAACAGAAGATGGGAGAAAAATGAAAATATGAACATAATATTCAAAGAAAAAAAAAAAAAGACGTTAGGTTAAATACACAGCAATATAAATCCAAGAAAGCCGAGGAGGGGACAAGAGGAAAACAAAGACTCTTTCTGCAGGTGGCACGACCCTTCCTCTGTAACTTGCAGGAGCAAGCGACCCTTATTTCACCCTCTGAGCATCATTTGCTGGGACCAGAAGTGTTTCTGCGAGCCTGCCCATCAGCACCTCAGAGCCCACACCCTGTGTCCGTGTGCTCAGAGCCCAACCCCGGCGACACGGGCGGCAGGGACAGGGTTAACAGCGTCCCCAAAGGAGGGGAGCCGGGCTCTGCCTCACCCGGCCAGAGGTGAACGCTGCCAGGAGGAAATTGCTGCTGCTGCAGCTCCACAGAGATCACGAGTGACCTTTCCTCTTGGAGAGGGGTGAAGTAAACAACACTTATCTCGGATTTAATGCGGTGGAGACAAGCGGCACTTTATCTCCGCTCCACACCACAAGGAGCAGGGAAGCACAGGGATGATTTTCCTGTTTTTTACTGTGTAAGCCATCTCTCAGGCCAGCCCTCAAGTTGAGCTGAAACATTTCCTCATGGAAAGATCTCGGTTGGAGCAGTAGGTTACGGGCTTGCACAACTTCTTGGCGCAGTTCAACCTTTGGCAAAGGCAGTCTGAGCTCTCCTTAGTGGGTTGATATTTTTACTCCATTAAATTTTCACATCCTTCATACCGTTTCCTTTAGGAAGGTATCAGGGGACATGCAATCCCTGTTCCTTCTATTTTGGAATTTTTTCCATCAATAGACATAAATCCTTCCCTTTCCCCCTCCGCACAGTTGGAGATTCTGGCAGATGGAAATCTGACAGGGTTTTTTGACAGTGGATTTCTCCTGTCTATCATTTTTACTATAAGAATGACATCTGGCTGCCTCATATGCTGCAATGGGTGGAAATTTTCCAACAGGTTTTTCCTAAATAAAACTCCACAGGCCAAGGGACAGTGAGAGTTACTTTGGGTGCCAAATGAGAAGGGCTGGAGGAGACCCTCACTGAGGGTTAAATGGATGAGGCACCTTTGCCTCCATAAACTCCAAACCTTTGCAGAAGCTGATCCACGGAAAGCAGACTGCAGGATCCAGACTTAGAGGAAATCAGGCGTTTAGTAGAAATTCAGCACTTACTGTGTGGTTTGAGCAGAGCAGAGGAGCAGGGGCCATGCCTGCATGCCCTACAGGAACACTGTCAGGAAAGTAACCCCCCAAACCCGGAGCCCACTGGAAAAGTCTTTTCCACACGCTTAGTCATACCAGGGCAGAGAGGGCAGAGCCTCATTTCCTTACGCAGCACGCTGGCACAGCACCAAAGCTCTGCCAAGCCCCTGCACATGAGCCAGGAGCATCCAGGGAGCTGATTCCAATGCAGGGATAAGGAGCTCAGGCACCTTAATGGATGTGCTGGACCAAGGATATGCAAGAGGACACAAAACCAACTTTCGAAATGCAACTTGAAGCATTTGGTTCGAAGGACAGAAAGTCAGCACTGGCATTCCATGCTAAGGAAACCATTACCTCACCTGTAGGTTGCTCAGGAGGCAAGTCTCCCGTGTTTACTCTTCCCCTACCTTTTTTCCTGGGCTCAGTATAAAGTGTTATATTGACACAAGCAAGCGGAGAAGTTCCGTAATTTAATCTCTGCCATTAAAATTTCAGGCTCCACGGAAAAAGAAACCCTGCCTGTTCATCAGGTCCAGCGAAATTCAGGTGGCAGCCGGTGTCACATTTCCACAAACTCCACAAACTCTGCAGCACCAGGCTGCTTCCAGGATGGGGGGGAAGGAAGGGCATGAGCAGTGCAGCTCAGGCAGAGCGTGCTGGCCCGCGGTGCAAACGCATATTAATAATTCAGGCTGTTCTATTTTGGACTGGGAATGTGCTGCCGCTCACCTGTACTGCTTGGAGCAAGGCCTGAAATAGAAACTCCTGTAGGAGCAGCCCGGAGGGCAGTGCCAGCACTGGCAGGGCAGTGCCAGCAGCCTGGCGGGGCGGGCACTGCGGGGACAGCCTTTGCAAGGTCAGCCCTTCCCTTTGGTCTGTGAGTCTTGGCTGAGCTGTGACACCCCAGAACTCTGAGGGATGCTGGTCTTCTTCCCGAGGGCCCAGCCAGGCAGGCAGGGTCCTGCATGAGGAGGGATTTTCCCAAGAAATACCAGACCCTGCTGCTGTGCCTGTGCTGGTATTGTCACCTCCCTCAGGTGACACCACACGGTGCTGGGGTGTCACTGTGATAGTTTACGAAAATTCTTTCACTAGGATTTTCTCCTAAAAAGCTGAGAAGCCTCAGAAAAGAAATGTAAACCAGAACTATCTGATTGCTGTACAATGCAGTCTAAAGATAGTTTACCAACAAGTACATCTTTGATTGGTCTCATGTGAATTGTTTTTACTTGATAACCAATCATAGTCCAGCTGTGTCAAAGCTCTGAACAATCACGAGTTTTTATTATTCATTTCCTCTCCTAGCCTTCTGATGTATTCTTTTCTCTATACAGTTTACTATAGCTTTAATACAATATTTTTAATATAATATAATAAATCAACCTTCTAAAAATATAGAGTCAAATTCATCTCTTCCCTCATCCTGGGAGGCAAACACATCGAGACTGGGGCCTTTAACAGTTCAGTTCTGCCACAAGTGATTACTGCTCTGTTGCCTGAAGTGACTGCTTTATATAGATTTTACCTCAGATCCTGAAAGCTGAATGACCAAATCTCTTTCAGGAAATTATTCTACCTTAAGCGCTGGCTTTCGGAAATGCATCATCTGACTTTCTGGGAAATTGCAAATGTTATATTGTTAGAAAACACAAGTCACAGGACTTCACAAGTGGTTCTCCTGCACAGGCTGAAGTCACTGCTGCAGATTTACTGGCATTCTCTGGCTTGTGCTGTCCTACGCCAGCTCCTAAGTGAATAATTTGAAAAATTGTACTTGATGATGTTTGAACTCAAAGGGAGAGCAAGGACTGTCCTAGAGCACTGTGATTCCAGGCATGGCATCTCTGTTCCCTGGAGCTTTTCACAGGCAGCATTTCCAGCACACCTCAAACCACTGAGTGCCTAAAGCTATGCAGTTTGGTGCTAAGCACCATAACGATGCCCTGCTTATCACACAAGGTATCAGACATCGGAGCAGCTGTAGCACCACAATTCCTGAATCCTGAGCAATGGCTCCTTTTTTAACAATGCAGAAACATGAAAAAAAAATGTGGAACAATCAGAAACCGCTAGAGGAGACAAAATGGAAGCTGTTAGTTTTGTAAATCAATTAAAATAAAAGGGAAGGAAAAAAAATAAACAAGAAGGAGCCAAGACTTTAGCACGTGCTTTCTCAGCCAAGTGCAGAAATTGATTCGTGCCAATGGAAGGGGAGAGCCAGAACAGCCCCATTCACTGTCCTCAGGAAGCTGCTGATGCTGAAATCACACCACATGACCCAAAATTTGAGACAATTGCTGGAGAATGATAACTGCTCCAGAAGGAGACAGTGTGTCATGGAGTGATGGGAAGGGTGTGCAACAGGAATTACCTGGGATGGGAAGAGTGTGCTACAGGAATTACCTGGGATGGGAAGGGTGTGCTACAGGAATTACCTGGGATGGGAAGGGTGTGCAACAGGAATTACCTGGGATGGGAAGGGTGTGCAACAGGTGCTACAGGAATTACCTGGGATGGGAAGAGTGTGCAACAGGAATTACCTGGGATGGGAAGGGTGTGCTACAGGAATTACTGAGCTGGGCTCCAAAGCAAGGGACGATGTGACAGCAGGGAATTCTCTGTGGCTGACTCCAAGCATTCAGCCTTTCTGTGTAAGAAAAGGGATTAATCAGTTTTTTCATTTTCAATGCCATTTTCATTTTCAATTACATCTTCCTGACTCCAACAAGTGATTCCTCACTTCTTACCACAGGGTTTGGTGGCACAGCCAGCCCTTGCTCTGCCCCTTCCAGAATCCAGCTGTGCTGCAGAGGGGGAGAGCTGTGCCATGCTCAAAAGCAGGGCGTGCAGGAGCACTGCCTGCAGCCCCCTCCTCCAGCCTGCTTCTTTATTTATGTATTTATTTATTTATGTATTTATGTGTCCACTGCAACTTCCAGGCAGAGCCTTTCCCTGCTCCTGCATGCACAGGGCCATCCCAGGGCTGGAGGAGCTGCAGCAGAAAGGATTGCTGAGAGGGCTCAGGGGAAGTGAGACATGGCAGTGCTCTGTTTTCTGCTTCAAACAACAGTAATTCCTGCGACATTTTATTTTCTACACCAATTCGTGGCTGAAAAAGCAATTTCTATGTGACGTGTAAATTGATTTTTAAGCCATTTTGTTAAAAACTAAGAAGCATGTATGCATGCCACTTCCCTGAAACCCCTTGTTTTCTTTTTTTAGGACCACAGCCTGCTTTGAAACTTACTAGAATTTACTTTTTGGCCCAGAAATTTTACTGAGAGCATCTGCTGGCTTCTGCTTCTAGGATGGATTGTGCTTTTGCTGTGTAACTACGAGCCTGCTCTTTCACCTCCCCTGTGTGTAAAGACAATATGTCTTTATATATTTATATACTCACAGTGCAAGTGATTATACAAAACCTGAATGTTTTCCAATGGAGATCTGCACTGGGAGAACTTTTTCCCTGTGAGGATGGGGTGGCCCCGGCACAGGTTGCCCCTGGATCCCTGGGAATATCCAAGGCCAGGCTGGACGCGGCTTGGAGCACCCTGGGATAGTGGAAAGCGTCCCTGCCACGGCACTGGAAAGGCTTTGAGGACCTTCCCACCCACACCTGCGGTTCAGTGATTCCATGACAAACCAAGAGCCTACCTAGCAGAGAGCTCCATCCCAGCTGCCCTGCCGGGGCATTCCCGCGGCTCTCCCGGGATGCTCCGCTGCGCATCGCGGGGGTCCCTGGAGCGGCGCGGGGCCCCGCCGTGCCCGGGGGCTCCGCCCGGAGCTGCCACCGGCGGGGCCGGGGGGGTTCCGGGGCTCCCGGGAGTTTCCGAGAGGATCCCGGGGGGTTCCCGATGAGTCCCAGGGGGTCCCGGGGCGCGGCCTCCCGGCGGCCGCCCCGGTGACGTCAGCGCCACGCCACGGTGACGTCAGAAGCGGGGCGGGCGGCAGCTCCCGGCGCGCCCCGCGCAGAGCGGGGGAGCGCGCCCGGCGCTGCGCCTCCATCCCTGCCCGCCGTGCCGCCGGCATGTTCTCCAGGAAGAGCCACGCCGACGTCAGGAAATCCACGCAGAAGGCGCTGGACCCCAAGCGGGACGTGCTGACCCGCCTGAAGCACCTCCGCGCTCTGCTGGGTGAGCGGGGGGTGGGCGCGGGGGGACGCGGCCCCGGGGCCCTCAGCCCCTCGGGGGGTGCCCGGGCAGAGCCGCGGCCGCGGGCGGGTCTGCGAGCGCTGCTCGCCCTCCGCTGCGGTGTCCGGGGAGACAGCAGCGAGCCCGGCGTGGCAGCTGTCCGTGCTGTGGGCAGAGAGCCTCCCCGCCCAGCCCGGGCTCTCTCCGCCGCAGAGGCAGCCCCGGTGCGCGCCCTCCGTGGGGAGAAAGTTTGGGGTGCCCGGGGGAACTCGCGTGTGCCGCTGTGCCGGGCTGGGCACCCCGCTGGAACCGCGGGGAAACGCGCAGCCCTGGTCACTTTCGGAGAAACTCTGCTTCTGTCAGTAACATCAACTCGGGGCTCTTTGCTGGGTGTTTAAGCTCCGAAAGAAGTCGCGGGGTGGTGTTCTGTGTGGTTTGGGGCAAGGCTGGACGTGTCTAGGGGCGCCTTGCGGGTGACGGCTTCCACCCTGGGCATCGTGGAAATGAGTTCCCGCTGTGATCCTGCCGGAGGTGGAAAGCCGCCGATGAGTTCCAGCTGTGACCCGCGGTTCGGGAGGGTTCGGGTGGCCTCTGTTCGCTGTTCAGACGCGGCAGGGGCCGGGTCTGCTGAGGGGAAGGGGCTGTGCCCGGTGAGTGCTTCCAGGTGATGCTGCTTTGTTCCAGGTGCGGGCGATCATCGCCGATGTGCCGCACTTGTTCCTCGTGAGCTCCCGAAGGAGCTGGCTGGGAGCAGCCGCCCTGGGGGACACAGCATCACATATGGCCTCGTGTCACGCTGTTGGGTTTGGTGACTTCTCAATTAAAGGTGTTTGTGGTCGCTGTTCCGGGTGTAGGCTGTTGCAGGGCTGGCAGGGGCTGTGCTGTGTCCAGCTGCCCGGCGGGTCACTGCAGGCACTGTCCGAGCGGCTCTGGGTATGCTCCTGACAAATCTGCTCTTGGCAACACCGGTGTAAACATTCGAGGCAGCACGGGAGTGGCTTCTGGAAGATGCTCTCTTGATAGGTAACCTCGCCACGGTGTCTTCTGTGGTACTGTTCAGCAGAGAAAAAAACTCCGCACGTGGGAGTTGGAAAAAAAAAATAAATCCGGCACGTAAAGCTTTTGGTATAAAGGCTCAAAAGAAAGTAGTTGGATTTCGTTTTTTTTTCTTCTCCTTCTCCCCAGATGTGTCTCTCCTTGCCTTGGCCAGGGGTAGGAATGTGTGTGTCTGTTTCTCCAACTGCTTCCCTCGGGCCACAGTGCCACACGTTCCCCAAATAGCTGTTCCTGCTCTCCCGTTTCCTTGGGAGATGCCAGCTCCTCTTCCTTTGTTAGTTTAAATCACGGGAATTTAATTGTAAACAAAATGTCAGTTACTCTTCTGTGATCCCACTGGTGCGGGAGGATACAGATCAGAGGGAAGATGATCATAGGGGAGGGATGAGCAAATGGAATGTGTGTTTCCATAAATAAGGGCTCACGTGAGCTTTGGATTGCTTCAGGTCCCTTAGTGGCACCTATGTAAGTTTGTCCAGTGCCCAAAGTGAAAGAAAAGAGTCCACTTAAGTTGGTGTTGGTTATGACATCTCTCAAGCCTCCAATGGCCTTTGGAATCTTAGTTCCAGCTCTGTGGGGTGCTCTGTGCACATGGCAGGACAAAATGCTACCCAGATCGACAACAGGAGTTAAAATTGGGTGTTCAGCTGTGTTTGAGAAATGATCAGAACATTTCCCTTATTTCTGTATTGCTATGGAGATGTACTCATGGCCAGAACTTCTGTTAAGTTAGTGAAGTTCTAAATACAGTTTGTGGAAGTGCCAGTAGTGTGGCCTTTTTTTTTTTTAAGATAGACTTAAAAAGCAGTGACCTGACAAAGAGTGGTGGGGATGTACAGATTTGGCTCTTCCCCACTGCCTGGCCACAAATGAAGCCTCTGCTTTTTCCTAGAGTGGTTTTTGTGGGACAAAAACAAATTGCTGCACCTTAAGAATTTTTTTCTGTGGCTCTCCTTGGGTAAAAATATCCTTTTTATATTGAAACTTCTCTTCCAATAGTGTTTTCTCCTTGGGCACAGGAGTCAGAAGTGCTGCTGCTAACAGATGTGGGATGCTGCTTTGTCCAGTGCTTTCAGCCTTTTCTCTCTTGAGCAGTGGGAGACACACAGAGTTAAGACTAAATGTGAAATTTTTAAGGTTAGCAAGTGCAAGCCTTATTTGTTGCCTTTAAAACATACCTGTTAGGAAAGCCCATGCTTTCCATGGAACTGCCTTGATCAGAGATGGGATAACAAAGGAGAGTAGTGGGATTTTGGTTCTGGCACTGCTTGGCCTCGTGGTTCTGTACAGCTGCAGGACCAATACTGGCTGGGTAGAAACTTTCATTTACAGACAGTCAAAAAGGGGATGTGTGCAGACTTCCTGCTGAATTCAGGGATTGTTCTGTAGAGCTTGTGTGACATTGGAGGTGTTAACATAATTTTGGAAGTTGTTCCAGTTGGAAGGCCGTTTTGGTAACGGGCTGTTTCATGCTGGCATGCTTTTTTTGAAGATAAGTAAGAATTGTGCATTATTTGTGGGGTGAGGCTGGTCATAAAAGTTTATCATTAACCAGGGTGTGGCTGCAAAATTCACTTAATCTCCTTTAATTTTTTTAAGTACTTGAGGATTAAGAGAGCTTTGAGAAAATAGCATAAAGTGACTTTGGAAGTTCATGGAATTAAGGGATCATTTCTAACAGGTGCCTGTGGTAACATTTGGCAGTTAACAGGAAAATAAAAGGCAAGCCCATGTGCTAAGGACAGGCTTAGTGTCCCCTCTGGGTTTTTTTTAATATGAGGAAGAGCAGTGAGAGTTTGGCAATAGACTCAGGCTCTTACTAAGTGATACCCGAGTGTAACACTAAATTTTAAATTTAATGGTAAGGCGAGTCAGTGTGATGAGCTCACATGTCCTGTTTATAGAGAAGAGATAGGGTGTGACCCTCCTGAGTGTCTCTGTGTTTCCTGAGTGTTGCTGCAGCAGCTACTGTCAGGTGTTAGCTAGACTTGTGAGCTTGTCCTGCGTGGGAAAGGGGGAAATTTTTTGGGTTTGGGATGGCTGCTGGTGCTTGCCTGAGGTCGGGGTGCCTGTTTGCAGCTGTAGTAACCTGGGAGCTGTCTGGGAGTAAATATAAAAACAGACCCAAATTCCTGCAGTTCAGCCCCAAGCTTGCTGCCTCATTTCCTCGAGTGCTTCTAAATACTCCTTCAGGCAGTGCTTTTCCCCAAAGTCAGGGTTTTATCTTGTTATCTCGAGTGATAAATGGCGCAGGAAACTTTCCCCGATGTTTTCCATGTAAGAAGCAGGAACGAGCCCTGCTGCAAGTTAAACACATCTGTGAGAAAGGGCTGTGGCTGTAGGGATGCAGCTCAAATCACACTCACCCGTGAGTCACCACCGAGATGCCACATTTAGAAAAAAAGGAGGATTTGCTTTCTTGGTGAGGCAGTTCCTTTCTCTTCCCTTCGCAATTTAGAGGGAAAGTTTCCTTTTTGTTTAGATTTTAATGACCTCATTCCCTCATATGAAATCCCTGTAAATGAAAGCCTTGTTTTCCCCTGGAGTTGTGTTTAACAGGATGCATTCATGGAGAGGAATAATTGCACTTAGCTTGTAAATTCAGACCAGTAGTTTGCAGGAAACAAATATCACGTTAAAGTGTTTCCCTGCTCTAATTGTTTCCATAGTACAAGCAGCCAAGCAGAGCCTTACTGCTGGAAAGGTACTAATTTAAATAAAAATCAGGTTGTCCAGGGCTAAAGTTATTATTTCTTCTATAGTTGTGGGATCTTATTGAGCCTTCTTGCTGGAATCAGCTTTATTTTGGGTAACAAATGGGTTTCTTGCAAGGTGGGGCTTCGATGAGATGTGATATTAATTTTGGCCCTTCATCCTTTTCTGGGGGAAATGACCCAACTTTCCTTGACCAAATCAGTTGCAGTAAAGACCAAAGGGAGGGAATTAATGTGTGTTTAGCAAGTGTCAGGCTTAGAAAACAGTGGACTTTTTTCTTGTAGAAAATAAACTTATTTCAAATTTCAGACCCAAGTTAACACTTAGGAACGTGCTATATGCTCCAGTTGCCATTATTCTAAGAAATGAATTGAGAATATGCTGTTTTCTGGCTTGATCTGCTTGCCAGATGAATGCAAGAGCTGAAATTGCATCCAAAATTTTTTGCTAGTGTTTTTCTCCAGCAGTACCTGCTTGTTTTGATGGTACAGAGGCCATTTGGTTACACTAAGCTAAAACTCAAACCCCCTTTTTTTTTTTTTTTTTTCTTTCCTATTTTTAGTGGAAAGCAAATGAACCAAAGCCCCAATGAAGACTCTCATAAATTCAGTGAAATTCTTTGCAAGGATGGACTGACAGTTTAGTACAGCATACTCGGTGAACTCACTGAAATAGCTTTGTATTGCATTTATTTCATTCTCTAAAGCTAAATTTGCAGAATGCCTGTAATTCTTGTCTTGCTGCTCTTGTGTAATTACTCTGTTCCTCTTTTCAGATATTGTGGATGGAAGTGACCTCAAGCAGTTTTTTGACAACAATTATTCTCAAATTTATTTTATATTCTATGAAAACTTCATAACACTGGAAAACAGCTTGAAACAAAAAGGTAAGTTTTAGAGTTTTTCCAGCAGCTGTTGGTCAGTGTTCCATAACTGTGCTCCAGGGCATTCCATTAAAGCCTGTCCAATGGTTGTCTAGTCCTCAGTTTTCTGTATTTACACTAATAGTTTCCTGCAGTACAGTGTGAGTATTAATCACTTCAATTTTATGGTAGCAGGAGAGATGAGCATGGAAAATCACTGAAATGAGAGCAGCAGCTGATCACATTTCTGGGTTCCTTTCAGCATTTACATACCCATCCTCTCACCTTGCTCCAGGCTCCTGCAGCTCCCTCTGCTCAGCTGAGACACAGCCAGAGCAGAGACAGGCACTGCAGCCTGGGCACACCTCACACTTGGGATCTTTATTTAAGATGAGAAATAAATTGAGTGGCATCTTTGACTTCAGCTGAACAGCCACAGCCTCATTCTGCTGTCTTTTATTGTATGTTTCTGGCAAGCAATGTTGTTTTGTGTCTTGCAGGGAATAAATCACAAAGGGAGGAGCTGGACTCCATCCTCTTTCTTTTTGAAGTAAGTTTTCCATACCATGAAAACTAATTTGTGTTTTAAATCTCACTGTCATTCTGTGCTTGCTTAGTGCTTTGCAGTGAGGGCTGAAACCAGGTGTCAGTCACCTGAGTTAAGAGATGTTATCAAAATGTCCTGGAAATCCAGCAAAAACACCTCTATCCTGAGCATTTGGGAGCTGATGCTCTGGAAGGAAGCCAGGGGTATTGGTGGAATTAAGGAGCACTACTGCAATCAGTAGTTGCATTGCTCTGTAGGCTAAGGCTTTCAGAAAGTCTGCTTTCTGTTGTTTCTTTTCTGTTTTAATTAAGAAAGAGTTTGCTCCTGTGTTTCATGGAGGGCCAGTTCAGAAGAGCAGCGCCTTCCCCTCTGTGTTTATTTTGCATGTGTCACAGCAGGAGGCTGGGCTCTGCTCCCCTCATGTGGAGGCTTCTGTTGTGATTCCAGTGTTGGGTCTTGCAGCTCAAGGGAAATAAAAGGGCAGGAGTTGTCAGCTACTGCATTTCAGTTTGATCTGAGTGTGTGAAATGCTGATTTGGTTTTTCTTGTTCAATGTAACATCTTTCTTTTCCAGAAGCATATCCTTCCCAGCACTGGCCATCAGAGCATTGGCAGTGTCTGGGGGAGAAATGTTACCTAATTAACTTTTGCCTCATCAAATTAGGATTGCTTTAATTTAAGCAAGAATAGTATGGGATAGATCATTTTCCAAGGTACCTCTTTGACTGGAGTTATTACCTAAATGTATTTGGATGTGAGAAAATATCCCTGGACCAGATGAAAGCCTGACACTTAAAAATGTTCTTATAATGCACACTGAAATTCTCAGCTTAAGAGAAACTCTGCCTCTGGTCAAAAAGGTCTGGCAGTTAATTAGGTAAGTAATTGGCCAGATTTCTCTCTTAAGGTTAAACACACATCATCTACTGATTTCATTCACTTTTCTTTATTTCTTTCTCTGTTAGTCCAACTACTGACTTTTTACCTGAGTATTGCATCATAGAAATGTTATTTTTGTTTCTATTTTGGGGTTTGTTTGGTAGGAAAAAGCCCTTCAGATTTTCAGTGGGACTCTAGAAATTGAAGCTAAAGGTTAATTGTTCTCAACTCCTCTTACTCCCTCTGCAACACCCCCAGACCCTCAGAAGTATGTGGCTTCATGGTTTTGCATTAATGAGTAGTTTGTGGTTGAAATGATATTTATAGTGACAAGAAGAATGATGCTGTTTAGCCTAATGTCCCTGTTGTGGGAAAAATGGCCATGAGAATGATGACATGGAATCCTGGGCTTTTGTGACCTTGAATTCTCACTTTGCTGTCTCCCTTTTCCTCTTTTCCCTCGTTTCCCCCTCTGTGAGACCACATTTTCACCCTGAGATCAGAGTTGTGCTTTCTGCTCCTTGTGACATTAGCACAGGTCTGCTCTGGGGTTGTGCCCGAGGCACTGGCACAGAACACAAGCTCACAAATTTGCCAGGACTCTTTGGGGCAGGAGAAACTCTTCTTCCTCCTCTTCCTCCTCAGTGCCAGCAGAGAAGGTGTAGCTGTGCAGGTTAATGGAAGCTCGTTAATACGCTGGGGCCTTGGATAAAGAATGACATTTCTGTGCCTGTGCCATTGAATAGGAAATAGCCAATGCTTGCTCATCTGGGTGGAGGGAATAACTGGGCATTCCCAGGGCTTGGAAAGGGGTGGTCAATAGCCACCCCTTAATACTCCTTAAAAGTAGTGGGAGAATGTGCTGTCTGAAGGAGAAAAAAAATCAGTGGTTGTGTCTGAAGCAGGGACAGCCTGGTCACCCTGGGGGGAGAGGAGATCCTTCCAGTGTTTGTGTGGGATTCAGAGTGATTCCCTTCATGGTGGGGATCTGCTGGATTGAATGTGCAGTCCATGGAGAGCTAACCCTGGGTGAGAGCAGCCCGAGAGCCTCAGCACAGGACAGGGAGTCAGAAATGCCAAGAGATGAAACATTCATACTCCAAGCCATAGGAAACAGAACTAATTGATTGTTAAGCTTTCCGTGTTTAGTGTGATGTCAGTGGGAGCCAGGAGGATGCTGCATTTTCTGCTAATTAGCTAAATAGGTAGTTACTTAGGATTAGCAAATCCTGAGTCCCCATGCTGAGGGTTAAGAGCTTAAAAATCAATAAAAATATTTATGAGGGAATTGCTGCCTTTGCCTTTCCTGGAGGTTTAGTGGGATCGTGCTGCTGTTGTGGAGTGACACCTAGTGTGTGTATTGGGCAGCAAAGCTTTTCCCACAAATCCTCTGGAAACTGACTTGGCTTGGTAGTAATTTATGGAAGTTCTAATTTTACACATAAGCTGCACAGCTTGGCCACACAGCAACAGCTTCAAACAACATGTTACCCAGAGAAGAAATGTTAGCCAGCAGGGAGGAATGCCAAGGGTTAACTGTTGCAATTAATACTGCAAAATGCTTGGCTCTAACTCTGTAAGGTGCTTTGGCCTTGTCTTTTCCCAGATAGATACTTGTGAATTGATATGACAGCAGTACTGTTATTTTTCCCTGCTTCAGCTAAAAGCCCAGAATTATGTGACACACAATTTTTTTCTGTTGAGGCGTGGCTCTATCTGTTTGCAGTGCATTTGCAGAACAGGTTGCTGTTGTTTCTTGTGAACCTCCTCCCTTTTGAGGGAGCAGCTCAAAACCTCAGATTTGAGGGCAGCTCTGAGCCCTGTGTGTCACAGACCTGCCAGGAGGTGACCTGTATTTATGTCCATTTTCTGGCACCAATAACAGTATTGTTGGTTATATATTGGTTATATATATCTATTTGTGAAAGTTTGGGTTTGTTTTTTTAATAATTAAGTGTTTTTTCGTTTTTGCAGCATCAGGTACTGTTTCCTCTGATACTGTAGTTTTTAAATCTCTAATGAAGTAAAAGCAGATTGATGGTTTTGAGATACATAGATGAATTTCTTGCCGTTCTCTATAATTTTTCATTAGTTAAGAGCAGCCACATCTGTCGTGCTGATGGTGTCATAAAATGCATTCCACTGGTCTGACAAGTTCACTGGATGAAATGTTTTACACTCAGATTTTTTCAGGTGTAGAAAAGCTTCCCCAAGCCTGTGTTTTGTTTGGAGTTTGTGGTTTCTTGAGCCTGGTGCAGATGTGAATGCTGAGCCTCAAGCTCAGTAGAGTAACAAAGGGGCTTTTCTGTTTATAGCAGTAAGAGTGCTTATAGCTCTACTTTTCTACACATAGAAAATTACTTTTGGAACCATTTATGGTTTGTTCTACCATAATTCCAATAACATTGCTGCTATTCTTAAAACATTCTGTGGTAAATTCTAGCTATGTGTTTCAAATATTTTGCTTCAGAGATCTTACTGTTTCTTGTTATGCCTGGGGCAGTGATAAGTGCCCTGTGTGCTTTGGGCAGACATTTTCCCTCAACAAATAACTGTAAATAATTTATTAATGCAACAAATGGAGTATCCCTTCATTGAGATTGAGCTGCTGCAGGCATGCTGACTCCATTGGCCTCTTGGCTTGCCTGACTCTGTGACTAGAGGATGGAAAAGTTCTAAATTGATGCAAGTTTTGGTAGTTGAACACCCTGAAACCACCAGCAGAGCACAGAGGCCTGGAAGAGCTCTTATGTCTTGACTTGGCTTGAAGTAGATCCACCTGCCACTGAGTCCTGGAAATTCTGAATCCATTCACGTGACTGCAGGCTTGCCATTGGCACTGCTGCTGGTTCTGCCTCCAGGAGTGTGTTTGCCCAGCAAGGGCACCTTGGGGGTGGCTGTCATTGATCCAAGACCAGCCTGGCACATCCAGAGCAGCAGAACAGCAGTGCTCATTGTCCCCCTGTGGCTGTGGGGATAGGAAACATCCCCTGGGATCCCAGGTGAGGCTTGGCCCAGCCTCAGCCTGGGTAGCCAGCACACAGTGATGGGCACAGAGCTGCCAGTCATGGTGGGATTCAACAAGGGGGGCAAAAGCAAAAGGCTTTTAAAAAGAAATAGCGGTTTTGGTTAAGTCACAGTGAGTCTGTCAAAAAATGAACCTTGGTGGTTTTTATTTTGCTTCAATAAGAGACAGAGCTTTCAAAAAGCAGCATCCTGTGTAAACTAAGATTTAAACTTCACATTATTCCTAGTCATGCAGGAAGTCCAAACGAAAAAGAACTATGGATAATCAGTTAAAAGAACTGACAGATACCCTGATGTGTTGATCAGTAGTAATACCTAATTTCTATTTCAAGTGTGTTATAATGGATTACCATATAGATGCAGCAAAGCACTAAGCATTAAATAGATCTATGTGTTTTCTGAAAAAGCAATATTATTTTGCACTGTGGGGTTTCTTAAAATATTTCTTATTAGTGTAGTGTGAAACTAGGAACAAGATGTCAATAGCCAGCTTGGATTCACAGCGGTGCGGCTGACAGCCTGGGCTGGGGAAGGGAGGGGAAGAAACTCTCATTTGTTACATAGCAATAGCAGTGAATGTTCTCCAGAGCACCAGGGGTGGGGAGGGTGTACAAAATGTTGCTGGAAATGTGAAGTTGCAAAGGGAACAACTGGAGCTGGTTCACGACTTGTGCAGTCTTGTGTCATGCTGCAACACCCCCTCAGTCCGGAGCTGCAGTGCTCAGGGCAAAAATCACCGGCTGGAAGTTGTGCTGGTGGGACTGGGGCTCAGCTTGTGACCTTCAGAATTTATATTTAATGATGTAGACTTTGTACCTGGGTGATTTCTTTTTGCATTGCGGGAGCAGACGTGGGCTCTGCATCCGTGTCGTTTGGAGTGGCCCTGCTCTGCTGCAGAGCTGTGCTGTCTGCAGTGCAGGAGGGGGACAAGGTTGCTTTTTGAGAATGCCTGCTTGCTGTGGGACAGGACCGTGCAGGTGATCAGTCACACCCTTGCATTTTTTCAAAATACATGTGTTTATTGTTTTCATGGTTTTGAGATGCTGAAAAGGAGAATGCAAGGGAAGTGACTTAAGTGTCTACGTTTTTTTGCTGTGTCAAAAGACTTTGGGTTATGGGAGCTTTTCTCAGATAGGAACTTCTCTCCTCTTGCTAGTGGTTTGAACGCTTGAATTGTTTTTGATTCAGTCACCTGACAAGGGTGTTGGATTCTGTGTTTTGTAAAGACAGAAGAATGGTAAGCATGTTGCTTTCTGCCCTGACCCCCTCAGCTTTGTGCAATTTAGAGTTTAGGCTTGTTTTCCCTGCTTGTTGTTGAACTGTTCAGCAGCATTTGTTCTTCTGCTTTTCCCTGGATACAACCTAAAGTTTGCTGAGACTTGGATGTGAAAATTGTTACCAAATTCTTTTTCAAATGGGTCTTTATTACAGAGCTTTGCACTTTTTCAGCCTATGCAGCTCGCACCTTGTCATAGCTCACTTTATAGAAGGGAACTTGGTGTTCAAATTTAGATGAAACTGTGTAACAGACTAAAACAATGGAAACAAAATATGTGTGGTTTTGTTTTGTTTTCCATGATAAATATGCTAATGTATGAAGCTTCCTTCCTTCAGTGTGTCGTGTGAATCCAGCCCAGTTTTTGTTGCCGGTTTGCCATAGGGTTTTGTTTCCTGGAGCTTTTCCTCGCACACCTCGGGCACACGTCTTGTGGTGAGCCTGGGACAGTCCCAGCTCCCACGCAGAACTCCTGGGTTAGGTTGGGTTAGAAGTGCTCCTGGGTTAGCTTAGGACTCCTTTCTGCCCCGTGCCAAGTTAAGTAATGATTAATGCCAGAAATAGTCTGGAGGAGTGGGGGGCTGCCAGTGTTTTAATGTTTAGATGGGTAACGATAACTCCTTGTCCATGGATCCTGCAATCTGATTGGCAGAAGCCTGGTGCTTAACTAACAGGTAAAGCCCCAGTGTGAGTCATGGCCTCATTTTTAGCCAGTCAGATCCTTCATCCCAAGCATTCCTGCTGCCCACGGACAGGGAGCTCAACCTCTGGACCCTCTGCTCCCGGGGTCCTGCTGGCACGGTGTGCTGGGGAGGGAGCTGGGGAAGTGACACTGAAACAAAATACAAGGAACATGGAAAGGACCTGCCTGGTTTGCATTTTTATTCTGGTTAACCTTTCAGAAATGCTATTTACTGTGTGGGGAGCACATGCTATGGTGAAGATGTGGAGGAGGACCAGACTGTCTGTGACCCGAGGTCTAGCTCCCTATGCCCACGAACTTGTCATGACTACCATCCTCTGCTGTGGAGAAAGGAATGTTCCATGTGCAAAAAGACTGTTCTAATGTTGAATATCATTTCTGAAGCCCTTTATTGTCAAAAGCAAGAGGTCTGTCCTGCTCCATGTCTGGAGCACACGCTCTGGCAGTGGTGGTGACTCTGTCACCCAGCTCTCAGGAGTGGCCCACAGTGCCGGCTGCTTTCTGGGCTGTGATGCTTTGTTTTTTCCTGTCAGCTTCTGTGTGCAGGGCACCCTCAAATGTGTCACTGTTGCTTAGGTGACCTGTCATCCATTTGCATCCTGCATGTGGTATTACTGAGAACACAGAGGTGCTTTGTTGTGCAGAAATTCGTGGCAGTCATTTTGTCTGATAATTGCAAGGAACTCTGACTGTCAGTCATTTATAACATTGTTTAATTTAATTTGATTTCCAAACTGAAGTGTTCAAAACTAGTTTCCTGTTTAAATATATCTTCCTAATTTCTTATTTCAATGGCTGGAAAGTTGTAAGGTGGAGGCATTTTCTGTGTGGAACGTGTGTGAAGCCCTGTGTACTGCCAGACCTTTGAGAGGTGGAGCAGCACTGAGAGCTGTGCTGCTGCCAGCAGTTTAAAAAGAAACTGTGTATTTATGTGTATCTCATTTGTATGTTGTGCATCTGTTTCTCTGTATCTCCTGATGAACCCGTTTTATTACAGAAAATTTGACTAGTTTTTGTTTCCTGCAGAAAATATTGCAGCTACTACCAGAGAGGATTTTTTATCGATGGCATTTTCGCAAAGAAATAGTTTTGTTTTTTTTTTTTTTTTTTTAAATGCACTTTTCAGTAATTTTTTCAGATCAATTTTTATTTTAATGAGTGATATATGAGTAGAGTTATGAATACGTGGTATTTGTTTGCAAGTTTGGCCCCAGCTGTCTTTCCCAGATTCTCATGAAATGGAGGATTTTCCCAGCATCCTGTTAGACTATGGCCTTGGCCATGACAGACACAAGATACTCATGGGTGGCTTCCTCAGACCAGGATTGTTTTTTCCTCACTCTCTGGTGGTATTGAAGCTTCTGGAAGAAGGGAAGGAATAGGAGTCTGGCAGAGAGCTGCCTTGGGTGGCCAGAACACCTTGCAATCCAGTGAAGTGGTTTAACTTGATCATTTCCTCTGAATCAAATGCCTTGGATTTGTCAGTGCTTTTCAAATTCTGCTTCCAAATGCCACCAGTGTGGCACCAAAAGGTTTTTATGCTGCTTAGTAAAATTTAGTGAGGGGGTTCTATTCCTTCCAAGTAGGACTTTTTGGTTGGGGTTGGTTTGCAGCACTGTCTGACCAGCTGCCATTTTTGTCATCAGAACAAGGAGCTGCTTTTGCAGAAGAACAATGAGCGGAAGTTAAAGGTCAAGGGAAGGGCTGTTGTCACATTTCCACTCAGCACTGACAAAAACAAGGGGAGACATCTGCCTGGCCACTTCATAATGCTTCAGCTGCACTAGTCCAGACCAAATTGGTTCCACTTGGTTGCTCTGTAGCTGATACATTCTTTATTCTTCTATTGAGTGGTCATAGTGGCAAAATTTTTTATCTGTGTCCAAAAAGCGATGTACAGAATTTGGCAGAGTATTTATTTACACCTCTGCCTTGTGATTTCCTTTTGCTTAACATTCATGTGCATTAATGTGAATTCTGTATATATGTTAATAATTTCTATATAATCTGGTGAAATGGCGAGATCTTGTCATTATACACATTCCCTAAATGGGAAGGAGCCTGTTTAAGGAATGTGTAAAATTCACAGATCTTACTACTACTGAAAATAATTTGAGACATGGTCCTCTGACGAAACCCAGACGACCTCACTGGGAAGATACATCACAGTTCATCTTGGGTGCTGGTGATTGTAGCTGGGTTCAGTTGGGGGTTTTCCCCACACAGTTGTCTTAAAACCCAGCACAGTGACCCCAGAATAAGTTAAAGTAGGCTTTCATGAAATGTTTTTGAAAATATTGTGGTAGGAAGTGTCTGATAATGTCTACTTAATTTTCCTAATCCAGGGTCGATTCTGAAGAAGCTTTTGCACACTGGAAATTCTCTCAAGGTACTGCGTTGATTTTTCATATTTCTTTTCACTTTAATTCCTGTGAAGTATGCTACTTTGCAGCTTTCCAATAGCAGTGTTTTCCACAGTGTTAGGCTTTGTAATTTTTTCTTATTCACCTTTTAATCTTAAGTTTTATTATGTGATCCTTGATTATTTTGATGTGTTTTCAGTCATTTTGCTGCTCTCATGACCTTGTGAAGTTACCTAGACAAGGTATTAACAGATACTGCTTAATACCCAATTTTTTGAGCTTTCTCTGGCATTAGAGCTAGGATTATATTAATGATGTGAATACCCTCAGATATGATGGCAAGACTTGGCAACACCTGTCTGGGGTGAAGCTCTCGCCCTGCCTGTTGTGAACCATTTACCCGTGTTACTGCACTTACAGACCTGTGTCACTACCCTTTTTGCCCAAACTCACCCCCTTGCAGCTCAGGTGTGAAGGAATCCGCCTGTTCCTGCTGTGGCTGCAAGCCCTGCAGACCAACTGTGGCGAGGAGCAGATCCTGATGTTTGCCTGCCTGGTGCCCGGCTTTCCGCCGCTGCCGTCCTCGCGCGGGCCCTGCACGCTGGAGAGCCTGGTCAGCCCCCCGGCCGCGCCCGACGGTGAGCCTCCTCCCAGGGGCTCTGGGATTCTCAGCCTGGGAGAAGCAGAGAAATGAGCAAAACGATTCTTACCTCGTTTGCCGCTCCTGTGTTGTGCCAAAGTGGAATGCAATGTGGAGGTTGTTTACCCAAAGTGATGGGGTTTTGTTTCCTTGGCCTGTCAGGGCCAAGCGCGTGCGCAGACAGTCACGAGATTTTGTTCAGTTCTTGTTCTGTTTCAGTTAAGATGTAGTGTAATATAGTATAGAATAATAGTGTAATAAAGTAATTAATTACCCTGCTGATATCAGTGGAGTCCTCCTCATCATTCCTCCCACCAATCGGGTGAAATTTCATGATAGGGTGTCTCTCCTGGAGGAGAGGACAATGGGTGCTGCTGTTGAACCTTCTGGGGTGCCTCTCCTGGAGGAGGGAGCAATGGGTGCTGCTGGCTGCCCCTGGAATTCCGAGCTGGCCGCAGTGTGTGTCCAGCTGCTGGCCTGGTGCGGCTCTAGAGCCGCCCGCTCCTGTCCCTCTGAGTGGTCAGGGTTTCCTCTTTGGCTCTGGGGTGGTTTTAATCCAGATGCAGCAGCAGGAGGAGCATTTTACTGCCCCTCAAGCAGTGGAGGTTTCCTCCTTTTTGGAGGTGGAGGTTTCCTCCTTGTTGTCTCACTGCTGGTGTCAGCCCTTCCAAGCTGCTGGGAGTCTGGTGTCATCCTCGCTGGGATGTGCCAGGACTTTGGACATCTGAGCAGCTTGCACAGCTTGGTAGCGCCCTAATGGGTATTTTCAAATCAATCTTTTATGGAAAATAGCTTTTATTTCAGTATTTTAATGCGTTCTATGCTTGAAATATTTCATTTTAGCCAAGATATTTCCAGAAGAAATAACGCCGCTTTTGCCAGCTGTCTCTGGAGAGAAAATTGCAGAAGACCAGACCTGCTATTTTCTCCAGCTCCTGCTAAAATACATGGTAATTCAGGTGAGGAGGATGCATGTTTGAAACTGTTCATATTTGGAGGATGTATTCATGGTAGAAAATTAAGCCTACGCTGCATCTGCGTGGAGCTGGGTTTACCCTTCCCCAGCACATTTTTTACTCTTAAGTGGAAAATCATCCCAAAGGTATTTCCCTGTGCCATTTTTGGTGAAAATAAGAAGTTTGTCACACTTTTGTGATAAGAATTAATGAATGTTATCCAAACTTGCAGAATAACTGACTGTTTTATGTGCTTGTGGTTGCGTTTAGAAAATTGATGTGGGGTAAAGATTCAGTTTGTTCTCTTTGGACACATACCTAGATGAAAAGAAATATAAAGGGCCACTGGAGGAAAAGATAAAGAGAGATGGCTTCTGTGATGTTTTTAAAAGGATGCAAGTAACATGTACATAAAATTTAATTAGAAGTAGATCAGATGAATCTGTGCAGGAAATAAATTAAGATAATGTATATATTTTAAAAGTACAAGTTAAGCAACATTTGAAATAAAGTGGAAGCTGTGCAGACAATGAACATTAAAGAGCCTTGTTATTAAAAAAAGATAAATTATAATTAAATACTTTGAGATACACTTTCTAGTATGAAAAGGCAAGACCAAAATAGTATTTGGAAAGGGTTTTGTCATCTTGAATAAATGCTTTATTTTAAAAAGTGGCTGTATGAAATTATCAGCTTCCTCCACAGCACCCTTTGTTTTACATATTGGAGTTTCACAATACTTCAGTTAAAAACAAAAATGTCACTCTTTTTATGTTCTTGTTACCTGTGAGGGGTCTAAACAAACCTGCTTACTGTACAAATCCCATTGCATAGTGGTTTCAGTGTTTGTTTATTTGTGTTTATTCTGACAAAAGAAAATATTAATGATAAAAGCAGAACTCAAAGTGACTTTGTCAAAATGTATGCATAAGAAGCAAATTTATTGAGAGCAGAAGAGGACAGTTGCTGTCCTCCTCTGGTTAGAGCAGTTTAAATAACTGGCTTCCACTGAGCTTGCTGGCTTTGGGGCGATGCTTTATTATTACTTTCCATTCTTACTGAAGTTTGTAAAGGTGGTTTTGGGGCTGTGCTGCTTTTTCTTTTCTTGCTAAAGTGTAGTTGCTTGTTTTTTTGTGTTCAGGGGGAAACAACTGTCAGTATAACACATTAACTTAAAGCTTTTTGTTTGTTTCTCTCTGACTCTCTGACAAAGGCTGCCAGCTTGGAGTGGAAGAACAAGGAGAACCAAGACACTGGGTTTAAGTTTCTCTTTACTTTGTTCAGAAAATACTATCTTCCTCACTTGTTCCCATCTTTTACAAAGCTAACCAACCTCTACAAACCTGTGCTGGGTAAGTAGTGAGCTTTGCCTTTGAAGAAGAAAAAGCCAGAGCCTGCTCTCAGCAATGTCTCAGTTACCAGCTGGTGTATTGCTACAGCTCTGTGGGATGAGGAGATTTTTCTCCCTGATTTTGTGTAAAATTAACTAATGTTGTAGCAGGGCTGGTTCTTTGTTTCAGCTTTTGCCCTCCCTTTTGCAGCACTTCCTTTTGCTTTCCTTTGTTTTGAGTGATACTAGTGATAACCTCAGGAAAGAGCTGTGCTGTTACATTATCCTAAGGAGCAATAAAGTTAGGATACAATACAAGCATTAATAAAATAAAAGCAGTCGGTCATTGCATCTGTTATTTCTTGGGTGATGTGTTGGGTACATTTGGCCAGAGTTGGGAAGCAATTACTAAGATTCCACTTTGTTTCTCTCTTCCTTTTTGTCCCCCCCAGACATCCCTGATATCAGGCCGAGGCCAGTGTATGTCACTGCAACACGGAACAATGAGAGCGTCTACTGCACTAAAATCCCCTACATGGCAGCTCGAGTGGTTTTTATCAAGTGGCTCGTTACCTTCTTCCTTGAAAAGAAGTATTTAACTGCTGTTCAGAGCACAAAAAATGGAGGAGAAATGCTCCCTAAAATTATTCAGGTGGGCTTTAAAGTTTACCTCTCTTCTTGCATGCCTGCTAACCTTGCAGATGATCTCACTGCACTGACAGCTGAAGCACAATGAAATGCTACCCCATAGTTAATAAATGATGTAGCTGTTTATTTGATTTTCTTTTTCTTTGATGAAGGAGGGAATCTCCAAGCAAAACCCTTTGGTAATTCACTATAAGGTTTTTTTCCCCCCTCATAACTTGTTTCATTACCAGCTTCAGCAGTATTATATTTAGACTTTTGGAATTTACTCTGTAAACTGTCATACTTGGTGGTTCCATGGACTGTTTCCCAGTGACATCAAAGGCTGCTTTGTTTTCCTCTCAGTTATAGCAGCTGTTTACAATGAGATATTAGAGAAATATTTCATTTATAAATTCATGGTTGAGACTCCTCTGGCGTTAGATGCCTCACAATGAATTTTATAAATCGATGCTTTTGAGAGACTTTCCAGCTTCCTGGTAAGAATTTAGAATCAATCTCAGCTTACATTTGGTCTTGAACCATGGGTGAGTGTCAGCTGTGGGCTCACCGGAGAAGCAACACAGTTTGAGAGGTTGCAAAATGCAGGCAAGTGCCAGAGCAAAACCTGGCAAAAAGGTGTTAGGCCTTATAATGTGTAGTGCTACAATCCATCTTTTCCCCAAGATAAAGGGACTTGGGGATTCCTCTCCACTGTGTCTGTGCCTTCCTTTACACTCTTAGTGTGGCGTGGACAATTCAGTTGTGTGCTGTGAGGCAGTGTCCAGTCGGCAAAGACCAAATTCCTTCTTGGATGGAGTGGCAGACTGAAATTTGTTGTGCCTGGCTGCTGGGATGGCAGTGTTGTGCCAGATAGGGTATCCCTAAAAATATGGGTGTTAGAAAGGTAGGGGCTGCTGCCTATCTCTTGTCCCCAACAAACCTCTCCTGTCGAAAAGCAAATTAAGTTAACATGCAGGCAATGCAGTCAAACCTCCACTCAACACCCTCCACAACTGGCTCAGCGGTAGAGGCAAGAAAGGCTCTTCTGCAAGGTTTTATTCCAGTGGAGTGATACAGCTAGAGGGAAACCTGGTGGGAAAGAGAATGAGCCATGTGGAGCAGCTTAAGAAAGGGAAGGGTTAGGGGGCAGAGCTAAGGGCTGGGCAGAGGGGACTGGCCTCCAGAGGAAGGGGGTGGCCACCAGTGATGCCAAGCCAGTCAGGGGAAGGAGAAACCAGAGGAAGTTATGACACAAAAGCTCCATGGGGGAGTCTGTTTTTCCTCAAAGGAGGATTAACTCTATGGTGAGTAGTTACTGATGTTTCCAGGGCTGAGGGCTTGGGGATTGACCCAGGGGAGAGAGTTCATGGGATGCTAAGTTCGAGTCGCCAGTTAACGGCCTCTTCAGCCAGGGCATGCCCGGTGGGCTGCAATGGTCCGGATAGCTCAGTCCTGCTCAGCCCAGCCTGTCCGAGCTCCCAAGCATCTGCTAGCCACAGGCAACCTCATCAAGCTCAAGTGATATCAGCTCTTAGTGACTATCAGCTCATTTGTGATTTCAGCTCTTTAGCTTGCTACGTGCCGCAGCAGACGCAGGGAGAGAGAGGAAAAGGCTGTGTGAGGTTCCGAAGAAATTCTTCATTGGGGTCTTGTACGAAGGTTCTCAGTGATAGCTCTTCTGCTGAACTGGGCAGAAGTAGGGATTTATGTAGGGGTTTTGGAAATTGTCCAATAGTAAGGGTCAAAGGAAAGTGACCTATAGGCTTACAGAGAGATAAGCAAGGGTCTGAAGGCGAAAGAGAGGGGCTTCTAAGGTCCAGTCATCATGACTTGACATTTCCCATCTTAGGCTTCTGGCTGCCAGGGAGCCATTGCAGGCCCCTGGCCTGCTACAATGCTGCATATCCCGAGCTCTCTGTGATGATCCCAGAGTGTGGTGGCTGATGTGCTGTTCTGTGCCTGCAGACAGTCGCCGTGGGCCAGGAGAAGAGCGTGGAGCTGGAGGCGGGCGCGGCGCCCGCGGGCGAGCAGGAGCGCGGGCACTCCAGCAGCAGCAGCCTGTCGGACAGGAGGCTCAGCAGCTGCAGCCTCTGCAGCGTGGAGGAGCAGCACCGCGGCGTCTACGAGATGGTGCAGGGCATCCTGCTCTCCACGCGCGGATATGTCAACTTCGTCAACGAGGTGTTCCGCCAGGTCTCTGCCCTGCTGCTTGTTTCTGAAGGGAGCGGGTGTGAGAGGCGCTCTGGGAGGGCTGGATGCTGGGCAAACTTGGTGCTGGTCACAGCAGCAGCCTTTAAGGTTGGGCTCCTTCCTAGGTGTAGTTTAAAGATCAGGTTATGGAATTGTTGAGGGAACTGAGTCTTGCTACTTAAAATGGCAGTGTGTGGGTTTGTGTGCACCACTTCTGTCCTGTTTTTGTTGCCGCCTTCTGAAATCGGTGAACTTTCCTTTTCAGGCTTTTTTGTTGCCGCCTTCTGATATATCCGCAACACGGAAGGTGGTGAAAGTGTACCAGAAGTGGATACTGCAGGAGAAACCTGTGTTCATGGAGGAGCCAGACAAGAAGGAGGACAGCCAGGATGCTGTTGCTCCCTTGGAAGACTCCTCAGTGCAAACAGACGGTAAACATGTATGGTATCCCTGTTCCTTACTTTGTCCACTGCAATATGGGGATTTTCACCTGACTCTGTAGAGGAATAACAGTTTAAAGTGTGGGGAAAGTAGGGGTTAAAAATGCTTTTATTTAAGGACTCACAGTTGAAATGGTTACTGAGTAGCACTTAGAGTGCAGGGAGGGTTGCAGCTGGTTTTAGAAACATAGTTTGTGGTTATTCCCTGCATGTGTTAATATGACAGCAGGAACTTCATGGAAGACAGTGATGGGTTTTGCAGTGCTAAAATTGACTGTCTGCTGGCCTAAGGCATGGAGAACTATTTCATTTTGGTGGTGCTTAAAAACTTGATAATATGTATTAATTTCTGTATATTGTAGCTGGACACCTTAATCTAGAAAATTTATCCCTAGATACAGTTCCTGTGCATCTTTTAATATCCTGTTTTCAAACATCAGTAGAAGTTCTTTGACACTGTTGACGCTGTTTAAAGGGAAGTTTTCTAGTACTGAATAAGAGGTTTGATTTGTAAAACAGTGAGAATTACAAGGTTTTTACTTTGTTTTGTAGAGGATTTGTGGTTTTGCCAGACTTAAATTCAAGTTGTTACTACAATCAGTGACTGTGAAAAGTTGTGAAAAATATTTTGAGTAACATACCTTTTAAAACTTCTATGAGCCTTCAAATTCCACGTGTGGAAATGAAGAAATAACAGCCAGGAATTCCCGGTGGAAATGAGTGTATGCCACGCCAGTTCCCCTGCTTTTGCTGCTGACCTCAGGGATGGTTTTGTATCAGTTGTGGTGTGTCCTTTGTGCCCTGCTGCTAACCAGGCTGTGTTTGGCAGCTCTCCTCAGAGCCCTGCGGGCACAAGCGCTCCTCCAGCTGGGGCAGGACCTACTCCTTCACCAGTGCCGTCAGCAGGGGCTGCGTGCTGGAGGATGAGGACAGGGATGTGAAGGCTGGTGCTCAGGCTGCACTGCAGGTGAGCTGGGTGGGAAGGGGGCATGTGGGGCCATGACCTGCCTGGCCACAGAACTTGCAAATTCCATTACGGTCTCTGAGATGGAGGAAAAGAACTACCATGCTTTGATTGGTTCTGTAAGACTCAATTTGGGCTTCTTGTGTCACTCTGAAATGTGTATTAAACCGCATGACCATGTCTTAAGGCCAGAGATCTGTATTTTAACGCAGAAGGCTAATTTTTTTCCTCCTGTGAGTACTAGGAATTAATCAGAACCATGCATTTACTTCTTCTGAACTTCATTTATTGAAAATCCTGGTGGCTGTTTAAGCATATGACAGCAGGAAATGGGTGGCTGGAGGAATGTCCTCTTGCCTACCCCAGCAGAGGAGACACTCACAAACCACAGACTGAGCCTTGGGGGGTGTGTGATGGGAGCCACCAGGCTCTTTCCTGGAATAACACAAAAATTAAGTGATGGGTAAAACTTGAAACTTCCTCTAAGGAAAAGGGAAGGTTTAACTGAAGGAGCACAGTATTTTGTTGTAAGTCTTGCCTGTTTTCATTCCTAACACTGTGAAAATGGACTGTCAACACCAGGTATTCCTGACAAACTCAGCGAACGTTTTCCTGCTGGAGCCATGCACTGAGGTCCCTTTGCTGCTGAAGGAGCAGGTGGATGCCTGCAAAGCTGTTCTCAGCATCTTCAGGCGCATGATAATGGAGCTGTCCATGAACAGAAAGACATGGTGAGGTTAACATACTGTCATTCAAGAGGAAAAGTTGTTAAGAGTCCACAACCAACCAAGCTATTTCACGAATTATCTGTGAAGTCCAAAGTGTGACTGCATTCTCAATAAGTAAGGCTTTGCTGCAGGATTAATGAGCAGGTACAACTAATGGAGCACCTTTTGTTTTGGAATCAGGGAACAGATGCTGCTGATACTCCTCAGAATAACAGAAGCTGTGATGCAGAAGCCAAAGGAGAACCAGACCAAGGACACGTTTGCTCAGAGCATGGCGGGGCTGCTGTTCCGAGTGAGTGAGTGGGGCTGGTTGGTTTGCTCTGTCACAACTGCCCACAGTTTTAGTTGAGTACCATGAAACCTGCTTGTATTATTGTGAAGGAGGGGTTTCTCATGTTTTGCTAGTAATTATTTTGTAAACTGTTACTAACGGAGGGAGAGTTGGGTTTGCTCTGTTCTTCAGGGCTCTGTTGCAAACTGTGGTAGCGCAGATGGGATATTTTCAGTGAGTGTCTCTAAAGTGTAAGAATCAAGTAACTGTTTCCCTGAAAGTCCAGCTGGCAAGTCAAAACTGAGTCACACTGAAAGAGACACTTATGCTTCCTACTGTACTTCCAGCCTGGAAAGTGTAACTGGGTGTGTAGTGCTGCCCCAGGGCTCAGCTGCTGCAGTCGTTCTGTGGGTGTAGGACAGTCATTCATTCTGCTGTTATTACAGAGTGTCTTATTTCAGTTTGCCAGACAACATTTAGCCTGAAATGTTTCTTAATTTCCTTCATCAGTAACTTTCCCTATTATTTCTGGGAGTGTTTTTTGAGGGAAAATAGCGCTGCACATCAGTTGTGCCTCACCAAGAGCCTGTGCTGATGTGCAGGTCGGAGTTGTGGGTTGGGCTTGGTGTGCTGAACTCATCTTGTCAGCCCTGCCTGAGCTGCCACTGGTGTCTCTTCCCTCAGACCCTCATTGTGGCTTGGATCAGAGCCAACCTGAGCGTTTACATCTCCCGGGAGCTGTGGGATGAGCTGCTCAGTGTCCTGTCCTCCCTGACGGACTGGGAGGAGCTCATCAACGAGTGGGCCAACATCATGGACTCCCTGACGGCAGTGCTGGCCAGGACTGTGTATGGTGTGGAGATGACAAACCTGCCCCTGGACAAGCTCAGTGAACAGAAGGAAAAAAAGCAGAGAGGCAAAGGTTTGACTTTGTGCTTCAGTGCTTTTTTGTATCAAACTGGTTAAATATTGAAGCTTAGTCTTAAAAATTAATTTAATGTTAAACACTACTTAATCTGGTGTAAGGACCTGTTTAATCAAATGTGAAGCACTTGGGATTTGTGTGTTGTCATCCTTCACTGGGGAGGAGAGGTAGTTGGGGGCAGGCTGGAGTCTGCACCTACAGTCAGGGTTTTTTTGGATGGCAGAGGTTAAATGTGGTTTCTTGTGCTGTTGGCTGGCACTGGCAACTCTGTAAAAATTCCTTTCTGTGTGTTTTTAATAAAGCTTCTAATTGACAGTGTTTTAGCTGCATTTACATGCCACCTTGAGATCAATGCACACAGTTTGAACTACCAGTTGGTTTTGATTAATAGCAAAAGTTAACCTGTATTGTTTAAAGTATTAATATTTGCCATGTCTGAGTCCATTCGTACTTCAGCAAAAATACATGCCAAAGCATCCAGTGCCAGAAAATTTTGTGTTCTTTGTCCTTAGGTGGTGTTTTAGAGCCTCAGAAGACAGCTGTAATAGGAAGATCTTTTTCCTTAAGCTGGAAAAGTCACCCCGAAGTTGTGGAGCCAATGAGATTCAGAAGTGCCACAACCTCTGGGGCCCCAGGAGTGGAGAAAGCAAGAAACATTGTCCGTCAGAGAGCCACAGGTTAGTTAGACCACAGCTGAGTGCTTTGGTACCCAGACACTCAGTAACACTCAGGTTTTAAACCTGCCTCTGACGGGTGGCTCCTGCCAAAAGCAACTCAATAATTAACTGCCCCAACAGGGATGTTGCACATCCATGTTGGGATGTCTTGGCCAGTGTGAATCACAAAGTATTTTGGGAAATTCTCTATCTAAGCTTTTAGCTACAGGACATTGAATTGTGAGTTAAACCTGGTCATGTTAGGGGGTTTTCTAGAGGTACGTGGCTGTTTTTGTCAGTTCCTAAGAGAGCATTTATTACTATCAGGCAGATAGCAGATATTGATACAACTATTTCCTGGGAGCACAAGGTAAACCAGGTATTTAATAAGTAATGTTATCCTTTCATAGTTGCTTTGTGTTCTCTCTTTTTCTTGGCATGATGAAGTTTTCCTCTCGTGTTTACTTCTGCAAAGAGGAAAGCAGGAGGGAGACTGGGTTGAGGAATGTTGGGGTAATAGCTGAGACCCCAGACATGGAACAGATTTCAGTTTGTTCAAGCATTTCAGCAGCCTGAACCTGGCCTGTCTTTATATCATGTCAGCATGTTTCCATGTGCTGGTTTGCTGGGGCAGACTCCTGTGCAAGCCCCTGCTTTGAGCAGGAGCTGCTGGGCTGCACAGCTCCCTCCCCAGTTCCTTACCAGGAGAGCTGGAAGGATGGAGAGCACTGGGGGTGGTTTGTGGCTCCATGGCTGAGCCACGGCCTCCAGCCTGGATCACAGAGTGCTTTGGCAGTAGAGCCAGTTCAGTCTTGAGTTTTATTTGAGTTTTATTTCTAAATTCAGTGAGTCCCTGTTTATGCTTCAGTGAAGAGTTCTCTCTACTGCTGCAGCATTTTCCCCTTTGACACCTTGCCAGAGCAGTAGGGAGAACCTGGAAGTGTTGATCCACAGCTTTTCTTTTTTGTGTGTGTTCAGATAAAAGACACTTCCACACTTGCTATGGATCAGAAATCCCTGATTATTACCCTTTCAGTGTGAGGGAGTGTTGCGCAATATTAACTTACATCTCAGGGGTGAAACCCCTGGGCTTAATGTTGAAAAGCTTGATCCTGAAACTCTGGGTTTGGTTGTGTTGTGACACTCAGAACTGCAATATTTCACTGTGTTCCTGATATAATTATTGCTCTATTTTTTCCTGTAAGCTAAGCGAAGCCAGTCTATCAGCAACTGTGTCCATCTTTATGAGGCTTTGCCAGCCACTAAAAGTGTACCTCTTCTGCTTCACACTGTGAGCTCTCTCTTCCCTGGTATCTCTTACACTTCTTGCTCTCACAGACTGTCAGGTACTGTACTTTAAAGTCATCTTTGATATCAATGTTCTTTATATTTTTAAACTGCTCTCTCCCTGTTCCCTTTCTGTCTGGTTGGTTCTTCTCAGAATGTTTGCAGCACTGCAAGCAAAGCAATTTTTGTTCATGTTGATATTAAAGACTGCCATCAGTTGCAATTAGATCTGTATTGCCTAGTAACTAAAGTAAAAATTCCCATGTTTCACTTCCTGGGAGGGATTTGTGACTCCTGAGTCCTGCCAGACTCATTACCTGCAGTAGCAAGAGAAAGGAGAGCTCTGTACGTGGTGCTTTAAGGCCCTGTGGGGATTCCTGCTCACTGAAATATCTTTGGTGTGTTTTCATCTCAAGTTATTTTGGGGGGAATGCTGAAATTGTTCCAGCTAGTGAATTGCATTGAATGTTTTATTTTATTGCTTTCTGTAAGACGTTGAAAGTCAGCTGAAGTCAGTCGATACCAGAAATGTTAGTTTTTGTCTATGTGCCTCCTGAGATAACTTTCTGAAATACCTACAGTGTTTATTAAGTAGTAAAGCAATATTAAAACTTGCACACTGCTGGATGGAAACACTGGAGTGTTACTAGCTTTTTTTGGGGTGGTTTTTTTTTTTTCCCCAAATGCGAAGAGAAATTAATTTCTCAAAGCGCTGTGTTGTTCTGCAATCTCAAGAATTCCTGTTGCTCCTTCTCCAGCATGTCAGTTTATTTTTGCTTGGGGATTTCCATGCCTGTCTCTCCTCCTTTTGTTTCTCATTTGCAGTTACAGCCAAACCAAAAGCTGCCTGGTTGGGTTTGTCTTCACAAGCTAAACCCAAGTTATATCTGGCTCAGAGCTTTTTTTACTATAAGTTTTTGCCTTTTTTTATTCCTCCTGCTTTTGCCTCTTTCTGGAGGCACTCAGGGAGCACAGCCAGCTTCTCCCAACACTGCATTTAAGGAAGTTCTGTTGCCCCTGCTCTTTCTCTCTTGAGAATGAACAGGGCCCAGCTGGGGTCTCCAGCACTGAAAACCCAGCTTTGTTCATGGGACCTCCTCCTCTTTAACTCCCAAAATCACATTAAAATCACATCTCTCCTTTTATGCTGCTCATGCATCTCTAAACTTTACAGTTTTTCTAAGGATGTTTTATAGAACTTAAGTTATAACTTGTAAATTTTATCTTGGGAATTTTAAATTATTTGCAAGGGTTGCTTTTTCCTAGAGCTTAGGTGAGGAGTTCACAGAAGTACATATGAGCTCCTGCAAATATTTTATGTTGTAATTAAATCAACAGAAGTTGAAGAATCTCAACAGCTGGAAAATTCAGAAGGAACAGAAGCTGCAGGCCCCTTTGCAGACCAAGAGCAGCAGCTGACTCGAAGCAGCAGCACTTCAGATATTGCAGATCAGATTCCATCTGATTTTTTTCAAGGTAATTCTAATAAAGTGCAGCAATATACTGTGTTTTTCAAGGAAAAGGTTTGAGACTTGTTCAGCCTCACAGGTGCTGCTCTTAATTACTTTGGATTCCAGGTCTCTTCTAAAATGTGGTTTTAGTTAATTTTCTTAGTGGCTGCATAGTTGGTAAGTTGTTGAAAGAACTGTTTTAAGGAAGTTAGAGACTGTCAGTGCAGGATGGGACCTTTTGTAAAGCAGGGAGGCCAAAAATGGAACTTGGAATGTGTGTGCACTTTGCATGTAACTCTTTGACTTTTCACCTGACTTGCATTTGAATTTTATGTATTCAAGCTGCAGTTGGAGTTCAGTTCCTCTCCTGTAAGTATGTTATGCTTCTGAAGGATTTTTCAAAGCTTCTTGTATCCAATTTAAGTGTTGTGTGGCCCTTAACTATAAATATGAGACGTGTAAACATAGCTGAAATTTACATGAGACTTGCTGTGTGTTTTGGTCCTGGAAATGTTTATAGTTCTTGTTTCCTTTCTGAAACTTCTAGGTAAAAAGGCTGGAAATTCAACTTCAGACTCCAAATCAGTTCAGGAAAATAAGGGATATGTAAAGGAGCATGAAGCTGAGCAAGTAAGGCAAAGTAATGTCTGTGAAGATCCTAGCAGTGTTTTCTTTCTAATCAGAAGCGTTTTAGCATTCAGAAACTCTAGGAGGTGGAAGTGTGAAAAGCCATCAATCCCATTTCTGGTGTGGCATCTGGAAGTGTGCCCTGTAGCAGGTTATTGTCCTGCTGGGTGTGATCAGTTTGTCTCCTGATGTCATCAGCTGCTTCTGCAGTTGTATCTCTGTTCTAGTCTTACACAAGGCTTTGGTCTTTTTTTGAAATATCAACAACGAGTTTGTAACTTTTAAAAGATAAATAATTCATGGCTATTACAGAGCTACAGTACACTGGAATAAATGTTTGATGCTTTAAAGCACTGATGAAAATGCTTCTGTTCAGCACAGTTCCTATCACCAGCCGTGCATGGCAGATGTTAGTGTGAGTTGACATCAGCACAGGCAAACTTCATACATTTTTAATGGCAACTTTTGACTGAACAGTTGAAACAACAAATTACTTAGCCTGATCATCTCTGTGAAATATGAAGGCCAAAAGATTTTTGTTTTTATACCTTAACAAATTATTTCAGATGTGTTTGAAAAAGGTAGGTAAAAAATCCTGCTTGTTGGTGTGAAAACTGAGGTTGTGAGAGGGAGGATAAAGAATGAAATGGAAAGCCTGATGTTTTCCTAAGGACACTGACATACACTTTTTACTCTGAATATTCATGAGAATGTCTTGACTGGGTTGTGGTTAATTTCTAAAGACTGTGTGGGTGTGAAATTTGCTGGAGTCGGTGTGGTGCTCAGAGCTGTATGAGCTGAGATGAATTCTTTCCCTGCAGGTGCTAATGCAGAGGAGCAGCAGTACAGCTGAGCTGGATCTGAAAGCAGACTTGCAGCAATCTCACGGCTATTACAGAGAGAGAGAGAAAAGTGAGTGCCCCGAGACTGCTTTTGCCAAGCACAGCCCCTGAAATCGGCCGTGATTTTGTTGCAGCCGGCCGAGGCGCTCCTCCGGGGCGCTGTGCTGCCGCAGCCCGGGGCGCAGCTGTGAGCAGCACTGTGCTGTTTGCAGGTGAGAGCGTGAGCAGTGACACGTCCCTGGGCTGTGGAGCTGACGTGGACATCGCACTGGTGGCCTGGCAGGCGGCCGAGGATGACCCCGAGGCCGGGCTGGCCACGGGAGCGGGCGGGGATCCTGCAGCGCCACGCTGGCTCCAGCTCAGCCCCTCGCAGGAGCCCGCCAACCTCACAGGTACCACGGGCCCCACTCTGTGTGTCAGCTCACTCCTGGGCCCCAGAGAGGAGTGCTCCTCAGATGTGGCACATGGCACCAAGGACCCTTCATCGTGCTCACTCAGAGCGGAAAGGGTTTGGATCATCCATTGCTTTGCCAGTAAACGATGATCCAGAAAGCCACTGCCTGCCCAGCTGGAAATAACTGGGCTTCTTACAGTGCCTAACTGGGTACTCATGTGCCTGCCCCAGTGCTGAAGTACAGCACACTAGTGAACAGGTTCTATTTCATAGCAGCGTGGTCTCAGGAAATGTCTCACTGTATTTTTTGACTGATAGGAGATAAGTGGTTCATTCTTTGCCATTTGTAAAGGTACCCTTCATCTGGTAGTGTGAGTCAGGTATTAGGTCAGGAGCTTAATGCAGTGATGTAGGGATGTCTTAGAGGCTGCCTTCCTAATGAATACACAATTTCAAGGGTGCTTTTTCATGTTGACTTTTCCTTTGAAATATCTGTGCTTTAATGAACCAGCACACCTAGTCCAACTGCTGGGACTGCTGCTGTAAAAAAGGTAATACTGCCCGTGGTAAGAATGATAATGTATGATAAATTCATTGTTTGTGGCTGTGGTGCAAGAATTGCTCCTTTGGGGGTACAAAGAGAAAGAACCACATGTAGCAACCTGGCAGGTAATGTGGAGTGAAAGGAGAAGGGGGTTAACAGATGTGCCATTGCCCAGCAGAGCCAAAGTGCCCTTGACTGCTTTCCTGCCTCTCAGCCAAGTCACAGCTCGCTCTGCTGTGGAAACCTGATAGGGTAAGGCAGAACAACACTGACACTGCCACTGAGCAGCAGAGATGCCACTTCCCTGAGCACGGATCTGTAGGAGGTCATTCTAATGTGCTTAATAAATAACATGTGGTTCAGCACTTTGGGACTTTGTAATGCCACAAAACAAAAAAGGGGGGAAGATCCCCAAAGTTGTTTTTAAAACATATTCAAACATAAAAGCATCTAAAATGCCTTTTATTTCACTAACCTTCCTCGAGTCCTCAGAGGACATGAGTTATTTCTTTCTTCCTTTGTAGAGGTTTCCTGCAGCTTCCTTCCATGCCTTGGTTGCTGCAGGTATGCCTGGAGCATGGCTGTGCTGCTGCCTGTGACAGGAGAGCAGCTACCAGCTCTTGTCATTAAAATGTGCACTTCAGTCTGGATTTGTACTGTTTAAGAGCATAAATCCCATTACCCTGACAGCCTTCTCCAAGCTCTGCTTTCTCAGGAGCTGCTCTGGATGAGTGGTGATGCCTGAGCACATTCCTCAAGGCTCTTCAGCCGTGGTTTTTTTATTCCTTTGTCCAGTTGCATTGCCAGGTCTTACTACACTGTGTGATCTTAAAAAAAAAAAAAGAAAAAAGGACTTTTATAAATACAGAAATATTGCCTGTAAGAGCGAGTTATTGATTGAATACATCCCTCAGGTACCTGAATGTTGCATTTAGCTGCATTTGCCTCCCTGCAGAAAAGCCCTCTGGGGTGGGGACAGTGTGGTGTGGCAGTGCTGTGGTGCTGTCACCTGCGAGCCCCTTTGCCTACATTTGCTGCCGTGTTTTTCTTTGACTCAAAAGCAGCTTCAGCAATGAAAGAGAGAGATTTGGGGGAGAGATATTCTTGTGAGATGGAAGATGGTTAGGAGGAGTAATGACCAGATTTTGTTGACCAAATTCATGCTTAGACTACATTTCTGACTTGTGAAAATGGAACACTTTAAATTTACAGACAGCAGTGAGTTCCTGGCTGATGATTGCAGTATAATTGCTGGTGGGAGCCTTATTGGTTGGCATCCTGATTCTGCTGCTGTGCTGTGGAGGAGAATCCTGGGAATTCTTGGAGATGTGAACAACATACAGTCACCTAAAATCCATGCAAAAGTTTTTGGCTATCTTTATGAGCTCTGGTATAAACTTGCAAAGGTATGTGTTACTTAGAGCTAATGGTAATGACACATTTCTTTTGTTGTGGAAATGATTATTAAATGAGATTTAGTGTTAGCACCTGGAGCATAAACGTGGCATGGGAGGGCTCTGTCTTAAAGGAAGTTTTGTCTTGTTTGGTTTCCAGCAGCAAACTCCAACAGAGAATCCTGTCCAATGACAAGAGAATTGAAATGGGATGTGGAAACAGTAGCAAAGAAAAAAAGGAGTACAGACATTGGTATTTGTGTAAAGGCCCATAGTGTGACTCAAACTGGCAGTGTTTGCTTTGGCCAGGGAACAGCAGCACAGACCAAGCTTTCCTGGTGGCTTTGGCTGAAGAGGGAGCTCTGTATAGCCCCAGGTGTAGTACCTGAATGTAAATAAAGTAAAAGTAAAACATAATAATGAAAAAAGATACTGGTTTTATTAATGCTCTTCTTTAAAAACCATCAGATCCGGGACAACCTCGCTATCAGCGTTGACAATCAGTCAACTCCCTCTCCTCCCGTCCTGATCCCTCCTCTCAGGATATTTGCATCATGGCTGTTCAAGGTCAGTTCTGAAGTTCTCACACAGGAGTATTTTTTTCTATATCAGAGCTGAACGGGTATGCATTAGTTGCCTTATTTTCAACTTGTACCATCACTGCTGGCCAAGACAGCACGTGCCCTCCAAAGGCTGAATGTGAGGTGCTTTGTGGGAGAGCTGCTGGGCAGGCATTGCACGGGCTGGCTGGTGGGGAAGGCAAGGAGTGATGCAGGCTTTGTTGTTGTTGCAGGCAGCCATGCTGCCCAGCGAGTACAAGGAGGGGAAGCTGCAGGCGTTCCGGCTGCTCTGCGCCATGATGAGCCGGCGCCAGGACCTGCTGCCCAACTCGGACTTCCTGGTGCACTTCTACTTCGTCATGCGCCTGGGGCTGACCAGCCAGGACCAGGTACGAGCTGTGCTTCCTGTGCCACTGCTGCCCCGTGCCAGGGCAGCAGGGGATGCTCCCAAAACCTGCTGCTGCTGTGGGCACGGCAGTTGTTGCAGGTCTCCCTGTCCTGCGGTGGCCTCAGGAATAAAGCGTTGGGTGTGAGGTGAGGAGCAGACTTAGTCGGGCTGTTAAATGATGGTTGTCTCACAGAAACAGCTCAATGCTCATTAAGAAACAGTCTTTAGACAAAATAAAGACTATGTAAGAGCACTTGCATGTTTTTGTAGCTGTAGGAATGAGAGCAAGGGCTGCAGCTCTGCTGGGGTTGGCAACAAAGGGCACAGGGACCACTCAGGAAATTCTGGGAGTTACTGATTGTGCCTTTGGGAAACTAGACAGGTTTGATTGTTTCTGAGATGATAGAGGGAAAGAAGAAATTGTTACCAGATTCTTGCCCATTGGTTTCCCTTCTGAAAAGTTAGAGCATTTGGAAAACACTCCTTTTATATAGATAAGAATAGAGGCAGGGGTTTTCTCTTGGAAAATCCTAGAAGTCCTGCTGCAGCTGCCCATCCCTCCATGGTTTCCCTGGATATTTTGCAGCCCCACACTGCAATCCCTCCATGGTTTCCCTGGATATTTTGCAGGCTGCTGCTCTTTGTTCTTGCTCCCCACTCTTGTGGCTGCATTTGCCTCTTGGTGGCACACTTGACCACAGGTTGGCTGCTGTGTGTGTGTCTTTCCCGCCTGCTTTCCTCAGCTGTGGAAGTGGATGAGGTGTTAACTGGCAGTGCCTTGGAGCAAGGTGTTGATCCTTATTCCTGCTCCTGTATTTCCAGCTCGATTGGCTCCAAGGTGCTTGCTGGGTGCTCAGAGAGTGGGAGCCTTTTTATCAGAGGGTGTGGAATCACAGGGAGCACGATCACTGGAACGATCACTGGAACGGGGATCCTAGCATGCTTTCCAGGATTTCAGAAATAAAGTAAACTTGGGGTGGCCTTTTTAACACAGAGTGGGTTTGTCTGCTAAGCACAGGCATAAATTTCTCCCTTGTAAGGAATGTTCACAGAAGGGAAGGTAGGAGGTGTCTCATGGAGGAGTTTTCCTTCTGTATGGATCACTAGTGCAACTTCTAGCATTTATGTGGGAAAGCAACAGTAAGACAGCCCAGCTCCAGGCAATCACCTTGGCTACTTCAGAAGAGCTTTTTAGGTGGTTACATAATTAAAAGTATTACAGTCAGGAACCTCTTCGACCTGAATGGTTTTCAGTGTTTTGGTTTTTGTGACAAATGTTTTTTTGAACTGCATTTCTCTTTTCACTCCTCACTCACTTAAGGATGTGAAAATAGGAAATTGCTGCTGTGTTGTGTAGCTTTTGGTGCTGCTAGAAAAACAAAATATTCCGATTTTGAATATGCTGTAAATGAGTACAGAGTTATTCCCAGCAAGTGCAGCCCAGCTTTGCAGCCTGGTCTTGGGGGGTGCATAAAAGAGCAGTGTGAGGGTGTGTTTTATAGGAGGCTCCCGTGGCACTCCGAGCCCGGGATGTAGCAATTAGCTCAGCAGAGGAGACAGCGGGGTAATGAGCTGCAGCTAATTTGTCCATGTGGAAGTGTCTAACAACAAACATCCCTGGAGAAGTGAACAACTCTCTGCAAGAATTGCATCACCTCTCCAGGTGGGAGAAGCCCGGCACCGGCGGCTGCGGGGAGGGAGCACAGGAGGGACCCAGGGTCAAGGGCCAAGTGACCATCTGTGGGGTGCCTCCTTCCTGAACTGCTCCAGCCCGTGGCACTGCTGGCCTAGTCTGGGCTTTTTTCCTAGTTTTATATGAATGACATTCATTTAGGCTCACAGCCTTCCCTCCCTGGCCTCCAGGGTGAAGGAAAGAGAACTGGGATGTTCACTACGAACTGGGATGTTCACTACCAGACTGGGGCTTAGGGAAGGTACTTTACCTATGGTTAGGGGGTTGAAAATCAGGAAATGTTTCTGGGGGGTGCTTGGTAGGGGTGCTGTTGGATAGCCTGCTGCAGTTTGGGTGAGCATAGCTGCTTTCTACTGCCAGGTAAGCCTGATGGTCAGAAAACTCCTGCTGGAGCAGCTGCAACGGGGTGTGTCTTTTGGTTTGGGTAATAAATACAGCTTTGTTCATCAAAATTTGACACTGCAATGCACAGGTTTTACAAATGCCTGAACTAGGAAAAGAGATGTATTTTATTATTGCTGTTTTATTACTGTTGCTGGCTGCTTACTGTAACAGCACTTTTTGCTTCATTCACCTGAAAAAGTCGATAAGTGTCTCCTTGCTCCACAGCTTCCTCCTTTTTGCTGAATAACAAAAGGACCAAAACACAATTCCAAAAAGCTACCAACACTTCTCAGAAAATCAACTCTTGGCATAATAGGGATTCTTCAGCTTGAGTCTTTCTGGCACTTAAATAATCCTTTGAGGTTGCTGGTGGTTGTCTCCTAAAAATTCTGTGGACTTTTGTGTTGCCGTTTCTTATTTCTGTCTAAATTTCTGCTCATAGTCTGTGAGGAGAAGTAAGTGCAGGTGAGGTGCTTACCTTGTAGGGACACTGTAAAAAGAGGCAGGTTTTCAGTCCTTTTTCAGGTTTGAACCCTCTGCTCAGTGTCATTTTTTAGCCAGTCTTGCCCTATTACCAGGGAGAGCATCAGTTACTGTGCCTGGTGCCACCTGTCACCAACACTGAGGTGTTACCTGCAAAGTGAGCAAGAGGGTCACTTGTACTCCTGATTTTGGGAGTGAGTTTAACAAATAAATTTAAGTATAGTCATGCTTACTTGCCAGAGGACCTCTGGAGTAAGGACACTTATGTTTTTTGAGAACATAATCAAATGTAGAGGCTTCAGGGGTTCTCTGTGGAAAGGACAGTGGACGGCCAAGGGAGGAGACTCTGCTGGTGGCTTTTTCAGTTCAGTGACATGAAGAGCAGAACAAACTTTAAATATGGAATGAGAGGAAAATCGCCACAGTCCAGCCAAGCTGGCAGATGTCCTGGGTGATTAAATGTCAGCACAAACAGCAGGCCTGCCTGTGGAGCACGGCCTGGCTGCAGCCAGGGCACTCAGCAGCTTTGTTTTAGGTCAGTTCCTTTTAGCAGTGCAAGGAAGCTGTGGATGAGAAGCTCTGTCAGTAGAGGTGCTGAGGTACCAGTGCCCGTTGTCCCAAAGCCTCTCTCTTTGTTCCAAAAGATGAGGGAAAGGAAGCTGCAGCAGCTCTAAGCTTCTGTAGAAACACCCACTGGAGCTCTCTGTGTGGAAAATGGTTAATTGTAATAGGAAGCATTTCTCAGCAGAGCTGCTACCAGAGAAGTCATTAATTACCTGCTTGTGTTAACACTGGTCTGACATTTTAAAAAACCCCAGAATTTGTGAGCTTTTATATCTTTCTGCCTGACGGTGGAGGTACAACTGACACCAAAAAAGGCTTCAAGCATCAGCACTTTCTTGTACTTCAGTAGAACCTTTTATAGCCCTCATGGTCATGCATTGCACCTGTGTGCCCTCTGTTCCCTTTGGTCAGTGCACCTGGGCCCTCCATGGCTCACTGCCTTCAGTGCTGGTCACCTTTTTTCACAGCTGTACCCATTGGGGATGAGGCTCAGCCACAGCCCCGCTCCCAATTACCAAAAACTCTGTGCCTACAATTCCCCCTTTCTTGTCTTTTAAATAAATGCCAAGTCTACCATCCTCCTGTAGGGCCCTTGCAGAAGAAATAGTAAACATGGTCTTTTTATGTAGGTTCCATTAGCTCTGGAATGCATCTGTCTACTGACCTTGATTCATTCCCCAAACCTACACTGCATATCATCAAAATCCTTATACCTACACTTATGGAATATTGACAGTCTAAATCCTTATAGCTATATTTATAGACTATTGACAGTATCAGTAGCATCATGCAAGAATAAGCCAAAAGCTACATGTTAGGATATTGACAAAATCAACAGCTACAGAATTTTAACAATATCAATAACTATAAAACTTCATTGACAGCTGCATAGTTCCATCAATAGCTATACAACTTCATAAAGTAACATGCAAGAATAAGATAGAATCTATATCTTCCCATCACCCAGATGTCTTGGCTTATTTCAAGGAGTCAGGTGAGCCACAGCCAGGTTTGTTGCTTCAGGGGGCATTATCCAGCACAGGTTGTATGTAACGAGCAGGCATTGTGCTTGATGGAGGAATGGTGAGATGATTCAATGTAAACACAGCTTTCCAAACTCTTGCCTGTGGGGTTTCACTCACCATTCCCCTTTTTTGTTTTCAAAGAAAGGCTTTAAGTGAGGAGTGAAAGCGTCTTACAACAGCTAGACCAGTTGAAAAATATGAAATACTAGTGACATATGCTGAGCTACATGACTAGGTCCATTATTAGTCTTGACAATATGTGGTGCACCTAAAGCTGCAAAAGCACTACATCTTTTTCACCATTCAGTGTTTGTCCTTTTGTGCTTGTCCTCATCTGTGGTGGAGGCCAATGCCAGATACTGCCCTGCCCCAGGTTCTTCCACTACATTACACAGTGTTGGTACCTGGAGACTTCACATTGTGCAGACTTTTAATTACCTCTCCTTCCTTTCTGCACACAAAGGCATCTGCAATGTTTATCTCTATCATGTCTTAGTGGAGAATAGATTAGATTGTAAAATAGAGCAGGGTTGCAAGGAAAATTGCTGAATACATACAATGCCTTGGCATAACCTTTTCCAAGTAGCCCTATTGTGCCATGCTCCACTCTGTCTTAGCACATCTTTATTAATTTGCAATATAGGTCACGCTTAGAGATTTGAAGAAGACACAAGTGACCTATAACACCTTCCTCAATGAGATCATTATCTGCAAGATCTAGCACTCTATTCCTTAGCTTTGTAAAAAAAAAATATATTCCCAGTTGTTTAGTTTTGACTGTAATAGCTACAACTAGGCATAGGGAGCTGGGGGTGTTCAGCCTGGAGAAAAGGAGACTCAGGGGTGACCTTGTCACTCTCTACAGCTCCTGAAAGGTGGCTGTGGTCAGGTGGGGTTGGTCTCTTTCTCCAGGCAGCAATGACAGAATGAGAGGGGACAGTCTCAAGCTGCATCAAGGGAAATACAGGTTGGATATTAGGAAAAGGTTTTTTTACAGAAGGTGTGATAAAGTTCTGGAATGGTCTTCTGGGGGAGGTGGTGGAGTCACCATCCCTGGATGTGTTTAAAAAAAGACTGGATGTGGCACTCGGTGCCATGGTTTAATTGGGGTGTTAGGGCATGGGTTGGGCTCCAGGATCTTTAAGGTCTCTTCCAACCTGGTGATTCTGTGAATTCTGTGAATAGTAATAGCTGTGAAGTAAATTTTTTAAGTCTTATAAAGCTTCTCTTAAAGCGTCTTTAGTTTTATCAGCTTCAGTAGAATAAGAAGCATTATTTATGATTACTCTAAGGCAAACAAACTAATTATTGCATGAGACCAAAGAAGGCTTCAAGAGTCAGCACTTTTAGAACCTTTCATTCCCTTCATCCTACCTGCATTGCACCTGTGTACCTTGGTGGTTGGTCAGTGCACCTGGGCACTCCGTGGCTCATTGCCTTCAGTTCTGTTCACCTCTTCTCACAGCTGTACCCATTGGGGATGGGGCTGGGCTGCAGCCCCACTCCCAATCACCACAAACTGAGTGCCCACATCTGCCCAGTTGTCACTCAGCAGGCAGGAGCAGCGTGCAGCAGCAGCTGTGTAAAGGTGCAGTAAGTGAGTGGCTTTGCTTTTGTCCCCTGTGGAACGGGTGCTTCTTGCCTGGGTTTCTGCCTGATGGTGTTGTACAGAAACCATTGTGCTGTTTAGATTCTTTAAACTGCCATTTAAAAGGAAATAACCTTAATGTAGTCTATTAAGGCTTGGATTCCCCTATTTTAGCTCCTTGAGACTTCTTTCCAATGGCTGCCATGATTTTCTCCCTCTTTTAATCCACCCCTTATCTCATTTCCTGTGGAAAATTTGCCTGTGTGCTCCCATTATGTGCTTTGAGTGCTTTGAAAAAGTGTTAACAGACAGCATGTTTCCAGTAGGGACAAACAAAAGTCCAAATGCCAGGGTCTCATAGGAACTCTCACATCCCCCTCTGCTCTCCCAGACCAGGCTAAGTGGGAAGTGCTGGATAAAAGAGCTGCAAGATTGACTGGAAGCAAGGGGGAGCCAGGTCCTGCCAACTGCTGGAGCTGTGCATTCGGCAGTGATTTTGGTAGTTTTGTTCTTTTCTGTTTATTTTGCTGTAATTCATTTGCCCTCCCTAAGTTGCATCCATCCCACCCAAATTCTGCTCCTGGGGTTGATGTTCTGTCTGTCAGAGCTCGGGGCAGTGCTGCCACGGGTCCTTGGGAGAGATGTTTGTGGGGACAAAAAGCCACCTCCACCTTCCAGGCAGTGCCCTTGTACCTGTATCCACTGCGTGCTCTGTGTGTGCACAAACCAAAATATTTATTCTAGTTCTTTATCCTATTGCTCTCGCCACTTGTGAAAGTATCAGACATGCTCCAAAATGGGAGAAATTTTAAAAACTCCCTCTGTTGTATTCCAGCCTTGAGGGACTTGGGCTATAAAATGCAACTGCTTTGGGGTTAGGTTTTACCTGGCACCTTGAAATGCAGCTTTCTGATAAATTAATCCTGGATCTCCTGAGGTTGTCAAAATACTTAATAAATTTGTGTTGGAACTTAATTTTTGACAAGTTAACTCTTACTTAAAACTTCATGGCAGGTAGGAAAACTTGGCATAAGTAAATTGAAGCATTTGTTCCTTTAGAGTGGAAAAGGGAAGTCTTAAGCCTTCTGTAAATTAATAATCTTTCCCATGCCATAGATCTCAGGTGCCAGTGAGGTGTCTGTCGGTGAGGAACAGAGTGAACTTTGAGTGAAAAATCCATGTTGTTCCTGTTGAGGGACAATTGGAAACATGAGGAAGGCAGCTGGCAGGCTATTTGCTTACACCTGTAATCTGCAAAATCTTGAACAGAAATTAGGTGAAGAATATTTTTGCAATTGACCTTTCAGTGAACTTGCATAAATTTATTTCGCTTACTCAGTGGATGTTTACGACCTTATAATTTGAATTACTAGATTAACCTACACTGAAATATGATGCTGTTTATAGGGTTAATGCATTTGAGAAGGACATGCATGCGATTGCCCCCTCCTCTCCCCTCTTCCCCAGCTTTAACACCACAGAGCATCATTCTGAATTGAAATAGTCCATAATGGTCCTTTTTTTCACTTTTCTTTAACAACATGAACACTAAATTATAGCTGTGCAATTATGTAAACAATGGAAATGCTTCCAGAATGAATACTTCCTTTTAAATTTTCATTTTGTGTAATTGCTGAAAGGTTTGGAGCCATAATAAACCAAAATTATTTTACACATTTATCGTTCTAAAGGTCAATTATGAAAGAAGTAAAGCAACAACACTGTGCAGAATGAGTAAACCAATTTCCACGGCCATCACCATATGTTTTTCTTATGGCTTGTGTTTTCCAGTTGCTGTGTACATAGCATTCAATTAAAGTGATTCATTGACCAGGCTGGGAGCTGCTACCCGGAGTTTACGTTTGCAGGGAGGGAAGGAAGCCCGGCTCTGTTTGAATTACCTGATTTTGCCCTATCACTGATAGCACAGATGTCCTGGCTCCCTCGCCCTCTCACCAGCCTCTCTCTGCTGATAAGCTCCCTGAGCCCCCGGATTGCTGCCCCAGATCCTGTGCTGTTGTGAGCCGGGCGCTCTGCTGATTGGGAAAGGGGACAGAACCCGGCAGGCTCCCTATGAGCACTGTCCTGGGCTGGTGCTGAGCCTCTGGAGCAGAGCTGCGGTGCCACGGGCAGGGGACAGCCTGCCCGGCCCCAGCTGAGGTGCAGTGACCCGAAATGCCCAGGGTGATGTGCTCAGTGCCTGGGGTGAGCCCGGCTGAGCGGGTTTGTGCCGGCCCTCCCTCGGGAGATGGTTCCTGGGTGTGTGTCACTGCAGCCAGCAGCCCACGCTGGGAATTTGAAGGGAAGCCGAGGACTGCTTCAAGAGCTTTTCAGAGGGAATTTTTGAAAGGTTTTTCACTGTGAAAAATGATTTATTTTTAGTAGCACTACATCTCGTAACAGGCGAGTAAATCCCTGCAGCCTTTTGGACCGTGTGTGCTGTCACAGCACCCATGTTTGACAGTCACGTTTTGTGGTTCTCCTCGCCCCACTATGGGAAGTGTTCTGTGCAGGGATCCGTGCCCTGGTGTGTGACAGATGGGAGCTCTGGGGTGAGGATAGGAGTTAATGCAGTTGTTTGGAGCAGCCTCCCTGGCCAGGTTAGCCTGGGCTCTTTTATTGTGGCACATGTCAGCAGCAGCCTGCTCCCATCTGCTGCCCTGCTCAGGGCCAGCCCAGCCTTACCTGGCCCTGCTGTACAGGTGTGCTGTGCTGGAGCAGCAGGGAGCGTTAATCAGCCCTTAATTATAACAAGGTATGTCCTTTGTTCTGCGCCGACCGAGAGCTTACCACCCGCTTTATGAGCGGCTGCATCCATCTGCTCTGCTTCTCCATGTTTGCATTGACCCATATTGACTTAAAATGTATCAAAGGAAGTGATTAAAACAAGTTTAAACATTAACTTGAGTGGCATTTTATCTTATTCAGGAAAGTGAAAGCATTATCTGCTACTATGTTAAAAACCAATACTGTTTATTTGAATTTATAGCAGTTTCTTCATAGGATACTGGTGTTGCAAACACTTAGTGGAGCACTAAGCTGGGGCTGTGCTGGTGTTTAGAGGGCTTAGAGAAAATAGTGGTGATGTTCAAGCATCTCTTTGTGAAGAGAAAATTGAGTTTGTCGTCTTTAGCTTCTGTAGTAGAGATTGAGCATGTGGACAGATTATGGGGGTCTCTAGCACAGGCTGTCTTTGACACATCATGAAACCAGTAAGGATGGACATGGAAAAGGGTTTTCCTTTGCAGCTTTTCAAAATTTTACTGAGTGGGAAATAATTATCTACTGAGTATAGAAATAGCTGGATGTAACTTTTCAGCCAATACAGTGTCACGGGTAAAGGATTATACAGATTTTATGCCTAATTTTAAACCTGCTGAAAGCTTGCAGGGAAGAAATCTTAACTCAAATATAGGAACTTTGCTCTTGTTTGGAGAGACTGTGAAGACTTAAAATCTGGAAGGCTTAAAGATGAAAGGCTTATCTGGAATGTGTTCTGTACCACAGGGTGAGGGCGAGCAAAGCTGGGGCTGCTGCTCTGTTCCTTCAGAGCACCTGAAGCAGAGAGCAGGCCTGGGGAGGGCAGCTCGTGTTCTTGTGGCATGGAATTCTGAGAGATTTGAGGAACTCACTCCTCGGGACTGCTGCAGTGCTTCATCTTAAGTCCATGAAATGTTTGGATGTTGACTCTGAAGTCTTGTTTAACAGAGTGGTTGCGTTTAGGCACAGAAAGACATGAATGGCGGCGTGGGCTTTGAACAGGAATTTAGGGGTTTTTGGAAACAAATGTTTCCAAAATACCAAATGTACTTTGGCTACTCCACACCCATGAAGTGGAAGGTGGTGATTACATGGAGGTCAGTTTGCGCACAGTGCTCTGGGAATTTCCACCTCAGTCAGTGTGGGACTGGGGAACCTCAAAGTTAAATCTTCTCAGACCTCAAAATTAAATCTTCTGACACTCTCCCTTTTCACTTTCGGGCTTTCTGGCTTTTCTCACAGGTGCCTTCTCTTGCAGGACATCCTGAACACTGTCATAAAGCACTGCCTGCCGTGGTTCTTCTTCCTGGGGCTGCCTGGCTTCACAATGCTGATCGGGGACTTCCTCGGAGCGGCGGCACGCGTGCTGAGCGTGGACACGCCGGAGGTGAGCACGGCTGGCTGGGCTCTCAGGATGGACACTGGGGCAGCTGGGGTGGGAAATCCTGGAAGAAGGCAACACGCTGGTGCTGCAGAGGTGTTGGATCCAAAGGCTGAGGCGTGAGGAAAGCGTGTCCTGGCTGCCACACGCCTGTAGCGCCCCATGAGCGCCACTGCAGCGAGCAAACAGCGAGAGAGAGCGGGGAACTCGCTGGGTGACACAGCGTCTCAGGCTAAATGTCAGCACTAACAGAAATGTGACTCTAAACTATTAAATTATCGAAGGATAAGTAAAATAGCAAGTCAATGAGGGGTTGCCAAAATAAAGGTAAAGGTCTGGCAGTCCTGGGAGAGACAGGAAAGCTGTACTGCATGTGAAGCACCAGCTCACGGGAGACCTTTCGGTCTGTTCTGGCTCAGGGCTTTTGCTGCTGCTCTTGACATTTGTGTGGCTGAGCAGGTGGCTCTCTGCAGGGCCACAGCCCTCTCCAGTTTCAGCAGAGCTGGAATGGTTATCCAGCCACACTTCTTCTGTCAGCCCTCAAAGAGCTTGGTCAGCCTCAGTGTTGATCCAAAGCTTAAATGCTAATAAGAAATGGATGCTCAATTTTCCAGGGAAAAGCCATAAACCAAAACCTCTTCCATTCCTCCTGCGTGCATAAAACTGGGTGTGCGTTGCATTTTCAACATTACACAGTAGTTAATGTGTTTATAGCTCGTGCTGTGCTGCTTTTGATGGCTCTGCAGGAGCAGGGATCTCTCTGCACATTGGTATCACCTGTGCAGTGAATGTGAGTGGGTTCTGCACCCACTCCTCTCTGTGCCACAGGATCACCTCATAGCAGTGCTGCATTAGTGCTTCACCTCCTCACTCAGCTGTTCTTCAGGGGGTTCTGTACTTCCTGTCAGCATCAAATGGCTGATTGTCAGGTTGGGTAATGAGGGGGAAGTATTGAAGATGTAGGATGTGCTCAGGAGTGGGGCCAGGTGCCAGTGGAAGGGCAGCTCAGCCTCATCAGGAGAGCAGAGCAGCACAGCAGAGAAAGCAGGGGCAGGAAGGTGTGTGTTAGTTACTGCTCACACCCAGCCCTTGCTGGAGCTGCAGGGGAAAAGCTCCTGGGTTGTGTTCCCTGGCACAGCTGAATGCTGCATTGTGAATCTAGCAGGCTGAGTACAGCAGTGCACACTGGCCTCAGAGCTGGAGGCATCTCCACGTGTGAAGGGTTTTCAGTGACTATTTTAGTGAATATTTTTTTAGTGACTGTTTCTGCCTGCTTGCCCATGCCAGGCTCCCCGCTCCGAGGCTCACACCATCCTTGGTGCCCTTGTGTGCTTTCCAAACACCTACAAAGGAATCCCACAGTTGGGACCCATCTCAGAAGCTGGCGAGAGCATCACAGGAACTGCAGATTTGAAGGTAAAGCCACACTTATTGTAAATCCTTAGGTAGCCTAACCTGGTTTCCCTGTGCAGTGACTTCATTCCTGCCCAAGTGGTTGCCCTCACACAAGCCCCTGTTGCTTTTGATAAATGTGAGACACTGTGATCCACTGCTCAAAATTAGGGATGGATGGGGAAGAATCTCTGAGTTCCTCATGTAGCCTGAGCAGGCAGAACCAAAGGGAATACAGAAATCCCTTCACATGCTTGGCTCCTGTTCTTGCTTCTTCATCAGGCATTGGAGAGTCACTGGAGGTGTCTTGCTTCTAAAATTAAGACAGTTTTTGTCTTTTCTGTACTAAATAATACACTAAAATTTTCATAACATATTTTGGTTAGAACCTAAACATTTGTGTTTGTATGGAGTGACCACCACTTGTTTGTAACTGCCCCTTGACACTGTAAATTAATTGATTTCCTCTTGCTGCCTATACATTAGTTGTAAGCTGATTTGTTCTCAAGGGCCTGTATGTTTGAGTTGTAATTGGTGTTTCTCCCTTGACAAAATACAACTGGCGTGAGGTAAAGATGCTTTAACAAGAGACAGGGAATTAAAGTGACTTCACCTGTAACTATGTCAAAATTAAACAACTTTAAAGTAGATGTATCAAAAAGATGCTTATTCTAATTTATTTTGTTATTTTAGTATTGCCTCATAAATATTTTATTGAAGAATGCCGCAGAGGAGCCAAGTGAAGCTGCAAGGTAAAATACCGAGTAAAAGAAATGGGAAAATATCATAGAATTGGTTAGGTTGGAAAAGACCTTTAACACTATCAAGTCCAACCATTTATGGCTTGGAAAAGTCTTCCTTGCTGCTTATTTTCTGCTGCTGCCTTGTGGTTTGGTTCCTGTGGAGTTGAGCCTTACTCTGTACCATGAAGGTGCTGGCCTGTCATGCTGGAGGGGAAAGAAAAATCTCATCTTTGTGCATTTTTTTCCCTTTTTTCCCCCTAAATATTGCTCTGAATGTCCTGACCCAGCTCCCTTTTCCCTTTCTCAAAGATGCATAGCCATCTGTGGCCTCGGCGTGTGGATCTGTGAGGAGCTCACGCAGTGCACGAGCCACCCGCACGTGAAGAAAGCCATCAATGTCATAGGTGTGACACTGAAGGTATTGCTGTGGCGGGCTCTGACCAACGTGCTTTGGGGAAAAAAGGCATTTCCACTTTGCAAATAATCACTGATAGCCTGAGGCACAGGCTGCTGCAGTGGTGTCCTGTGCAAGCATGCAGAATATGCCTATAGACTCCTTACCCAGCAAACTCACATAAAAGATCACACAGTGTCAAACCTGCTGGTTCCTAATGCTGACCGTGTGATCTCACAACACTAACTTTTTTTATTCTTTGCAAAGATGCAAAATAATGAAATGTAGAAAATCTAAATGCAGTGTATTGTATCTGAATATTTTGTTTGGCTTCTAAACACCTTTTCTCTTCCAGTTTTCCAACAAGCTGGTGGCTCAGGTAGCCTGTGACGTCCTTCAGCTGCTGGTGTCTTACTGGCAGAAGCTTCAGGAGTACGAATCCTCTCTGTGCCGGAAAATTACGGAAGTATGTCAGATTCTTTAAAATGTTTGTATGCAAAGTTGTCTTAATCCCTTCCTTGGGCTGCTGTGGTTTTGTTAACTCCTCCCTTTTGTATATTGTTGGGGAGGTACTTGCTGCACTCTCTGGGCCAGTGTAGGTCCCTCGTTTGTAGCGACTTGTGTGCAAAGTGCTCAGCAAAGTGTTCTCTTTGATTGACACGGGCTGTTGAATGCTCCTAGGAGAACTTAACCTGTTCTATGCCCTGTGCAGTGAAGGCCTGTCTCTGCAGAGGAGGAAGCTGAGTGCCTTTCTGACACTTGGTTTGTTTGGCTGCAGATCCTGGTGGCCACCATCGCGTTTCTCCTGCCCGGTGCTGAATACTCCTCCATGGAAGTGGATAAGAAGGTGTGTCACTGAAAAGGGCTGTCTCCATTCTTTGTGCTGTTTGAGGGGGGTTTTAAATGAGGTTGCTCCAAACCAGAGCTGAATTTTAAACTTTCCAATTCATACCCTAAAGTCTGGGTGAATTTAATAGAGTGTACCTAAACACTGTGGTCCGTGTTCTTGTTCAGTTCATAGTTTCACTGCTGCTTTGCTTGCTGGACTGGTGCATGGCACTGCCCATGAAGATGCTGCTGGAGCCCGTGTCTGCTGGTGCTGTGGAGGATCAACATGCTTCTAGAGCTCCTTTGCTGGATTATATTTACAGAGTGAGTAGGGGGAGGGAAGGCGATTTACTCTGCCTGGCTGTTTAAAGATGCCTTTCACACACCCAGAAGACACAGAAGCAGCTTTGTCAAGCACTAGAAAATCACATCATCCAGGTGACAAGTTACAAATGCAAAATGTTAAGAAGACAAGATTAGAGATGTAGAACAGACAGGGGATGGTGAAGACAAAGGTAAAATGCTTAAAACAACGAGCTGTAGAAAATAATTTTCACAGAAATATTTGGATTATTTGGAGAGGGCTGTTAAAATACAGAACAAGCCCTGAAGCGAGCTGTTAAAAGCACAGAATCAGTGCAGATGGAGACTGTTAATTTAGAAATGCTGGATTTGGACACATTTGGGTGGGTTGTGTAGTGTGTCAGATCTGGGGGTCCCGCTCACTGGGTGTGTTGGGGACTGTTCCAGGTTGTCACTGGCTCTGTGTCCCCGCAGGTCCTGCACTGCTGCATCAATGGCTCCAGCACCTACACGCAGCAGAGCCACTATGTGCTGAGCCTGGCTGACCTCTCCTCCTCTGACTACGACCCCTTCTTGCCCCTGGGGAACGTCAGGAGCTCCTCTGAGCCAGCCCAGTGCCCCTCATCCACTGATTTGGGCAACCTGCTCACCGTGGCTGAAGGTAAGGGCGTGCCCAGAGGGTGGGCTGGGCCAGCATGTGTGTGCAGCAGTGGGAAATAGTGTTCCAGCCTCCATCTCTGCCTTGGAAACCTGCTTCTCCTTACTGCACGTAGCAGCTGTTCCTTCAGAATTGGGTACGGCTCTCTCTGGATGAATTCCAGTTGCCTCTGTGATGGGATGTTTGAGTTTGTTGCCAACGCTGCTTCTTAGAACAAATTTATGTCTAGAAGATGTAAAGGGAAGGAGAAACACTGTAAACTACAGAGAAAAATAGTTTTACACTGAATATGAGAAAAACTAGAAATGAGGAGGTTTCTGGCTATAAAAGGAGTGACATTCCCATGGGAGAAGTGGAAGCACAGCAGTAGCTCAGAGTACAGTCACTTTATGAAATAACTGATGGACGTGCTTGTGCTGAGGGGACCCTCTGAGCATGCAGGAAGTCTCTCCCTGCCTCACATTCCCACCTGCCAGGGATGGAGGAGCACTGCTTTGCAGTCACATCTCTGGTTTGCTTGGCTTTTCTGCCGTGCCACCCTCCTGCTCCAATGGCTGTGGGGATGTGGTGAAGTAATATAAAACTGTGGGACAGGTAGGATTTCTTGGAAAGTTGCTAGAAATGCTTCCTTGAACAGGAAGGATCAGCAGGTCACATAGTATTGTATTTGTGGGGTGCCCTGTGGCAGAAAGGAATGATAAATCTGACTCCATGTTTTTAGAAGGTTACTTTCTTATTTTATGACATTATATTATATTAAAGAATATTATACTAAGCTATACTAAAGAATACAGAAAGGATGCTTACAGAAGGCTAAAAGATGATAATGAAAACTCATGACTCCTTCCAGAGTCCTGACACAGCCTGACCCTGATTGGCCATTGAGTCAAAACAATTCACATGAAACCAATGAAACAGCCACCTGTTGGGTAAACCATCTCCAAACACATTCCACTTGTGAGCACAACACAAGAGAAGCAAATGAGATAAGAATTTGTTTTCCTTTTTCTCTGAGGCTTCTCAGCTTCCCAAAAGAAAATCCTGGCCAAGGGGTTTTTCAGAAAATATAACAGTGACAACATAGGGCAAGCTGCTGCAACGTGGCAGAAGTCTGCAGGTGCTCTTTCTGTATTGCCTCTTGCTGCTCGTGCTGATGCATTGTGTTTTCCCCGATGGTTTCAGAGAAGAGGAGGAGGAATCTGGAGCTGATCCCTCTCACGGCTCGGATGGTCATGACTCACCTGGTGAACCACCTGAGCCACTACCCGCTCAGCGGGGGCCCCGCCATCCTCCACAGCCTCCTGAGCGAGAACCACGACAATTCCTACGTGGAGTCCTCCGAGCTGTGCTCGGAAGTGTTCCGCAGCCCCAACCTGCAGCTGTTCGTGTTCAACGACAGCACTCTCATCTCCTACCTCCAGATCCCCGCCGAGAAGAAGGTGGGCGCCGAGCCGGCGGCGGCGCCCTCGGACGTGCGGGTGATCGTGCGGGATATCTCAGGGAAGTACTCCTGGGATGGCCGGGTCCTGTACGGGCCCCTGGAGGGCTGCCTGCCGCAGCGCAGCACGGCCGCCGCCTTCGTCGTCTCCAGCGACCCCCAGCAGGATGGCCTGTCCCAGAACGATGTCTCCCAGGTGGAGGAGGGGGAGGACGCCCTGGACCAGCTGCTGGAGAGGATCGGGAGCAGCAGCCCCGAGTGCCTCCCGCACCCGCAGCGCAAGCTGAACGAGCCGGCGCCGCCGCCCTGCGGGATGAGCCCCGAGCAGGAGCGTGCCATCACCGAGGCCCTGCTGCAGCAGAGCGCCCAGGAAAGGGAGTTCATCCTCAAGCGCAGCTCGGACTGCAGCATGAGCGTGGCCCGCCAGGAGCCACCGCCTCCTGCCCAGCCCCAAGCCTCCTTTTATTTCTGTCGCCTGCTGCTGAACGACCTGGGGATGAACTCCTGGGATAGAAGGTAGGAAGAGAGGATCCAGAACGTGCTTAGGGTGCTCTTCTCACTTTTTACCCCTGAATGTGGACACGCTTAAGAAAGTGAGGATCATGTAGCTGGGGGTAAGAGCAGAGTTTTGAACTTCGGTGATTATTCGGAATATTCACCAGAAGATTGTGTATAACAATAATTCTAAGAAATCATATCATGTTAATTCTCTTAGCTGTTTGGATGATGAAATACTGTATCTCCACTGTGTTGCATTTACCTTCAAACCTTTCCTATTTATTTTAGAAAAAGCTTTCATCTGCTGAAGAAAAATTCAAAGTTGCTGCGAGAACTGAAAAATCTGGATTCCCGCCAGTGGTAGGTGATGTGTACTGAACACACCATTGATAAGGTTCATGTTTCCCAAGGAAGAATGAGTCACCAGAACCAAAACTTCATTCCTGTTGAATCCAAATATTGGTATGAAAATTGGAGTGTTTGTTTCTCCAGAGTTGTGTAGTCTGAATGGAGAATCCACCTGCGCTGGCACATTCTCTGTGTACAGAGAATTCCGAATCAGTGGCGAAGAAGAAGAGATTTTTTTCAAGTTTGCTTTAACTGAGAGAGGAGGGAATCAAATTGATTGTGACCTGCGTACAGCTGATAGAAAACAGTATTTTGTACATCCCTGAGTCAGGAGCAGTACTTTGAGGGGTGATCCACCCAAAACTACTCCCCAGCCAGAAGTGGCAGAATGAAGTTCTGCATGTTACAGGTTTTTTTTCCATTACTTGACAAAGAGCTGTTTGAAAAACATCTGCAGCATTGCAGAGTTCTGAGTTTCTTCTATCCCAACAATTTCCACATCAAATGTGCTTTGCATGTGTTTTCAGATAAGCCAACTGTCCCTGTCAGCCTTATAAAACTTTGCCCAGGGCCTGAAAGTCAATAATGCCTCTTCTGCCTTGTATGTCATCACCCTGTAATTAAAATTCTGTAGGTCAAATTGTGCTCCCATTAACACCTGTGCCACCTCGCTGTCTCTGCAGTGCTGCACAGATCTGAGTCATTAACCCTGTAATTGGAATTTGGCCACCAGTTCTGTGGCTGATGTACAGGAGGATCAGGCTTGGCTCTGCTCTCAGAACTGGGGTGTCTCTGCAGTGACTTTTGGTAGCAAAAAAATGGGGGGAAATCTGAAAGTGAGTCATGTATTTGTGTGCGTAAAAGAAATCGACACACAAAGATAAATGTGAGCACCTGGTCGTATGTTCGGGGTGCGGGGGGATCTGAAAAATAATTTTGAGTTGAAACTTGTTTAATTTTGACTTCTTTTTCCATCCCGTGGCAGTCGTGAGACTCACAAGATCGCCGTGTTCTACATCGCTGAGGGACAGGAGGACAAGTGTTCCATCCTGGCCAACGCCAGGGGCAGCCAGGCCTATGAAGATTTTGTTGCTGGGCTGGGCTGGGAGGTAACAGCCATAATTTAGACAAGTTACCTTGTTAGTGGCACTAATTCACAAAAAAAAAAGGAAGTAATTTGCTGCACACTGATGCTTAGCTGCTTTTATCTCTTGCTGTGGTCAGAGCACACTCAGCACAGGAGTTCCTTATGACATGTGTGGGTTTAATTTGCTTTGTCAAAATGGTGTGTCACAATCTAAATGCCATTAACATTTTGGTGTTTGGGAAATCCAGAGTAGCTGCGTGTCACATTTAAGGATCCAAGTGCCACAGCGAGATGCAGCATCCTCAGGCTGGTGCTGTTGGGAAAACAAACAAGCCTTTGGACTCAGGCTTGACTTCAGAGAAGGGTTTCTCCTGAATGAACTTCTGGAATAATTTATTGTAAGGGTGCTTTTTCTGTACAAATCTTCTGTTTCCTCTGTGGTTTTTCTGGTTTTCTCTCTCTGCCTTTTGTGATGCTCCGGGCAGTGGGAGCTCCGAGCCCCACAGAGCCCGTAGCCAGCAGTCTGTGGGAGAATGCTGTTGTTCCCTTGCTGCTGTTTGCTGGAGGAAGGTAAAATAGCTGGATAGATAATGACTCAGAACCTAGTTCAGAGAGATTTACTTTTAGTAAATGTCAAGTACAGGCACAGGAAAGACAAATCTAATGGAAAGATCGCAGAGCTCTAGGGGAAGACTTCTCTTTGTCTGGGATGGCTATGGAAACCTGGGGTGGTGATTCCCTTAACCTTGATAGAGAAGCAAATCCTGATGATGCTGAGTTGGCTGCTGTTTGTGCCTTTGGCTCCCTCAGGTCGACCTGTCCACGCACGGCGGGTTCATGGGCGGCCTGCAGCGCAACGGCAGCACGGGGCAGACCGCGCCCTACTACGCCACCTCCACCGTGGAGATCATCTTCCACGTGTCCACAAGGATGCCCTCCGACTCAGACGACTCACTGACCAAAAAGGTAAAGGTTTTCCAGTGTGTTTCACAGCACTGCAGTCACCAAGTGCTTCCATAAAAGCCTGAGCTGGAAGCAGCCTTTGCTGAGTGGCCCTGGCAGCCTGTCCCTGCGTTGCCACGTGGTGCTTCTGCAGCTGGGTTAGCTGAATTAAATGGCATCTAAATTCTGGGTTCTGAAACACAATTAACATTTCCATGGTAGCCTCAAATGCCACCGTGAGTAATAATATTAGCAATAATTTCATTTGTACATTGTCTGCCTGCCAAAAACTGCTGTAGGTTGGTAGAACAAAGCAACCAAATGCAGCATCATCAAACCATCCTGTGTGGAAAGAGGGCTGAGGCTCAGGAGCCCCAGCAGCCAGCTCAGAGTTCAAGACAGTAGCCAGTTAGACACAAGTCTGACAGGCAGCCTCTGCTTCAGACAGCCAGAACCCAGCCCAAAATTCTGTTGGTATCAGTACTTAATTGTTTGTCTTTCCTAGCGAGGAGCGGTTTCAGGTTATGCTGTTTGCCAGCTGCTGCTTAGGCTCAGAGATTTTTGGGGCATACAAAACCTCTGCCTTTTTAATTGTGATGGGCAACTTGTCCTGCAGAGGTTGTTAGCATGCATCAGTAATGCTGCAGGAGCCATCCACTTGGTTTCAGAATATGTGCTTTTCTTTGAAATATAAAGGTGGAATCTCTGATTGCTGGTTCTGAAAAATTGCCCAGTGTTTCGTACTAAAGTCAGATCTCGTCTTTTTTATTGTGATATCTGTCATTAAAAAAAAAGGAAAATCAGCAAAATGGCATGTTTCTCTTTCTGTATATAACTCACTACCTTCATGGAGGCAAGGCTATGGAGCAAAGTGCTTCAGGATGGAGCAGTGGGGTAGTGGTGTGTAGTACAGGACTGTAGAGTCTCTGTGACCATACCAGTGTAGGATGTTTGTATTTTTATTGTTCCTGACCAGTATTTGTCCAGCTGCTCGACCAAAACTCCAGTGATGAATGATTTACAGTTGCCCTAGGCAACATATTCCATATTCCTATGCTCCACTTCCTGTACCACAAAAAAATCTCTGGTAGTGCCTACTTTGCTTCAATTTAAGCCCACTGATTCTTATCCTATTTCACATGGATATGAAGGGCAGATGATTTTGCAGCACACTTATGCATGTCTGAGAACTGCTGCCATGTCTTTCCCAGACTTAGTTTTCCTACATAAACTGGGGCCATTTGTTTAATCTCAACCTTACCTTGTAAGTCCTGGCTTTTGTGGAAGCCTGGCAAAGGCACTGGGATATGGTCTGGCTGTTGAGTAGTTCATCACCTGGGAGAGGAGAGGAGAGCACAGTGTGGCAGAGCTACCACAAGGGGAAGAAAGGGATTTAGCTGCAAACAGTCCACTTATTCTCCTTATTTTCATCTATGTTACGGGTTATCACAGACACTGAGGGTCTCGTGATTCTGTTTGTCTTCCCTGTGTTTGCTCTAAGAGAATTCCTTCTGTGTGATAAACAGAAACCAAAAGCATTTAGTAGCTGTCAGTCTCCAAGTTTTGTAGTGCCAGGAAACCAGGCCAGCTCCAGCACATGCTGTCTACAGAACATAACTGCAAAGGAATTGCTCTGGGACCTTTTCAGGAACCCTGAGATCTGCTCTAGGAATGGAATCCTGCAGGGATCAAACTGGGAAGTGCAGGACAAATCTCTGAGCAGGCTCATGGACCCGAGGAGCTGCAAGTAGTGGCTCAGACCAGATGACTTCCAGAGGGCTTTTCAGTGTGTACTCATCCATGGTTCCACACACAACAGTTTAATTCAGTTTGTCACAGCTTCTGTTGTGAGCAAACATGCAATTCTGTGCAGATCAGCATGGATTGTTGACAGATTTTACAGACCTGCAGCTGTGAGTGGAGAAAAGATGCATTTCAGAAGCACTGCACTTTCTGGAAGGTGGGCAGCTCTCTGGGCTGAGGCCCTTACCTCACATTGTGGGGCAGAATGTCCAGGTTAAAAATATTATTTCTTACTTCATATTTATTACTTCTTGCCATCGATGCTTTTGTTTTATGGGAGTGTGGGAGAGAAAGATGGAAGCCCATGGCATTCATTCAGTTCCTGCTCCTACAGCTGAACTGTACCTGGTGATACAGGACAGTGGTGCTGGGAGGAGAAAAGTTCATCAGGATGCAATGGGGGCCACAGCTTCTTTATTCTTGCCTTCCCTCTGGGATCTAAGGTCCCCATAATCTCTGAAATCTTTGTGATTGCTGGGGTTTCTTCTCTGCTTATTTTGCCTCAGACCAAGAGAGGCTTCATCCCTGTCAGCACACTCCCAGCTGAACAGAAGGACTGACCACCTGCTGCCCTGGGGAGCCCGTAGCAAGGCCATAAATTCTGGGAGCTGGGGAATTCAGCAGATGTAGTAATTTTACTTAAATATGTTATTGTGGTTCTTTGTTTTTACTGAACGCAAAGATAAATTAAGTTCTGGTATGAATTTCCCAGAATAAGTGCCTTTCCACTGGAGATAAGCTTGTTTTTGTGCAGTAGAGCTGTGATTTGCAGTCTGCATTTTTTTATTTGAGGTATATGCTGACATTATATTGCTAATTCAGGAGGGAAGAAAGAAAGAAAAAAAGAAAGAAAAACCCCTCTCCAAATAAGTCTTGGCCCCGACAGAAATCTTTCCTAGTGGAGTAAACAAAATTCAGCTGATCTCTTTTGCTGCTGTAGGGTTCAGCATCATTGGTTCCAAACTTTATCTGCCTGTCTTGTGGCAAGTGTCTTTCCACTGGAGATAAGCTTGGCCCCTTGTTTTTGTGCAGTAGAGCTGTGATTTGCAGTCTGCATTTTTTTATTTGAGGTATATGCTGACATTATATTGCTAATTCAGGAGGGAAGAAAGAAAGAAAAAAAGAAAGAAAAACCCCTCTCCAAATAAGTCTTGGCCCCGACAGAAATCTTTCCTAGTGGAGTAAACAAAATTCAGCTGATCTCTTTTGCTGCTGTAGGGTTCAGCATCACTGGTTCCAAACTTTATCTGCCTGTCTTGTGGCAAGAGTGAAAATCAATCCCAGGAATGGCATCCTACCGTCCCTGCCTTGTTCTGCTCAAATTGTGCTTAACGGTTTAAAGATGTGCTGCCGAATTTCTCAGTGATTTATTTCATCTTCTCCATTGTCAGAGCAGAACTTTTTCAATTCAGAAATCTGGTTGCAACCCCATACTGAACTCTTGCTCCTTTGCTGCAGAAATTTGTTAGCTGGGGCTAGATTAGATTTTTAGCAGCTAATCTGACTGCTGTAGGGGTTTGCAGAGTGGGGACAGAGCTGTGCTATTGGATTTGTCCAATTCATTTGACTCCAGGACTATAATTGCACTTATGTCTTACAAGGCTTTTATGGCCTCGGGCTGGCGAGCAGCAGAAAAACAAATTGGCAGTGATACAGTGAGAGTGAAAGGGAATGAAAGGCACACATTATCAGTCTCCAGGCAGCCCTGCTCTGGCAGGAAGTTTCTTGCTTAATTTACAAATAAAACTTAGATTTTAGGATGGGCGCACAGTCAGCCAGACAATGGGGATGTCAGGCCCCACTGTTACTTAGCGAAAGTAGCAGCCATGCCTCCCCAAAAGCAGGAATTCTTCAGTCAAACAGACGACTCCTCTCTGGAGCCAGCTGGCTGTGTAATGCAATTAGAAGGGAAAGGAGGTCATGCCGGAGGTGTGCACCGTGACCGCTGTCAGCGCTGCCCGCCCGGCACCCGCAGAGCCCAGGCTGGAGCTGGAGCTGGAGCTGCCCTCCCCGGGCTGCAGAGCTCAGCCCCGGGCAGGGACAGCAGGGCTGTCCCAGACCTGGGGCTGGGGCTGTGTCCCAGCACCACGTTAACCAAACCAGGGCCAATTCCTGTGCCCGCCGAAAATTCCTGTGCAGCGGGGAGGATGCGCTGCCAGTGCCAGCGCTGCCTTCCCTCAGCATGCACAGAGCCATCGCTCCAGACTGCTGCTGGGGTTTGCTTTTCAAAGCAATCTGGTTCCTTGTCTGCTTTGGGTTTTTTTAATGTAGCTTTATTCTTTATTCCCCCCACCCCTAAACAGGGTGGGGAGCACAGCCTGGAGCTCTGGCTCTGCACGCGTCAGCCCTGGGGCTTTGGACATTTCAGCACAACTTGCTGAAGTCCTTCAGGGCACTGAGTTTTCCCCACAGCTGCTGTTTTGAATAAACAACACAGGAAAATAGCAGCTGGCTTATTGTCACTGATGAGATTATTGTAACGGCTTTTTATCAATGGAGTTACCTCTCAGTAACAAATATTTTTGATTAATGCCAATTTTTTCTTTGTAACGTTATACCTTGTAACTGTGGTGCTTAAGGATGTGTGGCTTCAAAACAAGGGCAGTAACTCAAGCTCTAAAACAAGTTGCTGGCACACACTGGGGATTGTGGCAGACTCATGAGCACAGCAAGTGTTGGTTCAGCTGAGTTCCCTTCTTCACTGAATTTTGTTCTGAAGGGTGCAATGTCAGTACAAAGTGTTTGATTATTATCAGAACACTTCCTTGGGATTTTAAAAAAGGTCCCTCAAGCAGTATTTGGACATATTTTGATGACTGTTTTTATAGCAGTATGTGTTATTTCTCATCCCAGAAGCCATAGGAGGCACAGCAGTACAGAGCCTTTTCTTCAGAAGAGCTGAGCTGGGTTTGTGAATTGCCCTCTGCACCTGGGCAATGGAGCTGCCTTATGGAATTTAGTGTCCACATTTATTTCTTGGGCTTCCTTCAGCAGAGGAAGGTTTGCTGGGTGCCACCATTGTAGGCTCTCTGCGCAGGGAAGCCAGTGCCAGAGCTGGCTTGGGCTCAGCCTGGCAAACGTGGGCACTTCCAAACCCCTGGCGGGGGTTCCCTGAGCTCAGCTGGGCCCATCCTGGAGCGGGACAGCCTGGCCAGGCATCCTCAGCATCTGGGACCTGCTGTGCACAAGGTCTGCTCACCCAGATGGATTTTAGGGGTGTATCTGACTAAACTTGACATCTCGCTTCTGATCGCTTTGGAGGTGACCTGGCTGCACCTGGTCACAGAGAGAGATCAGGGGTTTGTCCTGTGTGTGCTTTCCTGCTGCCTTTGGTACGTGTCAGTTTGTGGCATTCCCAACATGAGTGTTTTCTTGTGTGTTGCTTTGTTTTTACTAAGCTTCTGCACAGATATCTAGGTGACCACAAGAACAGCAATTTCCACTTGCTTTGTATTCGTAAGAAGCTCTAATAATAGTATTGTTAATGTTCCTGTGTTTTTCCAAGACAAAACTGGTTCATGTTTTCTTCAAACAGAGCTAAAATTACCTTTATTTCATGGGTGTAAATAGAACAGAATTATTATCTTCTGTTTAATTTAAAATAAACCAGAGAATCTCAGTCCTTCTGGGAACCGAGCTTTACTTCATTCTGCTGGAACACGAGCTGTAAGCCAAGTTTGCAGTTGTAACTTTTAAAAATTTTTCACAGTGTGTTGGTTTTGCCACGTTTCTCTTGTGACTGAGGGGTCCAGTTTGCCACCAATATGTAGGAGTGAAAGTTTTTCCATCTGAAGGCACTGCCTGGCTCTGAATAGGGAAGCCTCAACAGCACAGTGTAGGCTGATCCAAAGCGTGTTGGGGTTAGTTGTTATTTACCAGTGAAAATCACCACCTTCTTTTCCCTTTTTTCTCTCCCCCTGCACAGAGTGAAGTAGCAGAGCTTCGTTTTGGCTTCTTTGTTCGGTCTGTTGTGCACATTGTTCTGGGGGTAGCACCAAATTGGAGAGGGGGGGCTGTCTTTTAAGCTTTAAGTGGGACTTAAAGTCTCTTTATGCTTGGAGCTGGCATTGTGTGTGTGGATTACATTTTAACTTTAAAGCTTACAGTTGAAACCATTGTGTGAGGCTTGTACGTGATTGCCAAATAGTTTTTGCCATCTGTTAGATCACCTCCAGCTCCTCCAGCAGCAGAGCAAACACACACACACACACAGAGGCTCTCAGATGCTTTCTGTGTATGTCATGTTTAAATTTTATCTGTATTTCATGCAGCTCTGCTCCAAATGAAAAGGTGTAACTCCCACAGTATTTCCCATTTTTCTGTGCTTCACACTGCCCAGATATTTTGCTGACGTTTCAGGCAGGAGACCCCTCCAGACACAGTCAGTGAGGAGATGTTTGTGGATAATAAATTCAGTTATAGTGGTTCATGACAGGCAGTTTCTTGACATTCTGAGTCAAGGCATTTCATATTTCTGTGACAGCTGCCTTATTTTAGCTGGAATACAATGCTTCGTTGGTTAATGCTTTGTTCCAGTAATTCAGTTTTCCATCTTAAATCACTGTAGGTAATGTACATTTACATATCATGCTAATGGCTAGTTTGATAATGACTTAATTAAGCCATCAGACAACAATGAGTTCTAAATGAAGCAAATTATTGAGCTGATGCTTTCATGAGCAACTGGAGAAAAACAATATTTTAACTTTTCTGTAATGAAATATTCCTGCTATCGAGCATTGTAATTCAATTTGTGAGCCGTGACCCCTCGTGCAGCGTGGTTATCACTCGGATTAATAAAGAGCCAATTTACTGTTGCAGCTCCGTCACTTGGGAAACGACGAGGTTCACATCGTGTGGTCCGAGCACACCCGCAACTACCGCAGGGGCATCATCCCCACCGACTTCGGGGACGTCCTCATCGTCATCTACCCCATGAAGAACCACATGTTCTTCATCGAGATCATGAAGAAACCCGAGGTACGTGCTGGGTGCCTCGCTGGCTCTGCTGTGCTGTGCCAGTGAGCAGCGGTTCTGTCGCTTTCAGTGGCTTTAGAGTTTGGGAGCTGTTTTTTCCCAAACAGGTGAAAGATAAGCTGAGCAATGAGCTGACTTTAAAACTGGACTCACGGTGATCAGAGTGGCTGCTCGTTCGTTTTATAGCCATACTGAGCACTGAGTGAAACACTCCAGAATTCTCGACCCACAGGAGTCACTGGGCAAAGAACAGTATTTAAACCACTGTGAATGTCCTCTGAGGCAGTGAAAGCAAACCATTCATGATTTGAGTTCCTTGTGTGGTGTTGGGTCACTGCTGTACGCACGGCACCAAGCAGAACCTCACACGTCTGTGGCACTGTCGTTGTCACCTGACTGGGTGGGATGATGCACACATTGGACATTCTGTCATCAAAAAAGTACAGGAGGTTCACAGTTGAGACATTTTTTGGGAAAAAAAAGCATTTTTTTGCAAAATGTCAGAGGTGTGTGTATGTACATCTGTGCACGTGTGTGAAAAAGCCACTGCAGTAAATGCTTGTCTGGTACATAATGGATGCAAAAATATGCGTAAAATATACTTTGTGAAAGTAGCCATTGTGATAAATACCCTTTGCCTGATATGAGGGACAATATTTGTCCAAAGGAGTAGCCAGCTGTGGTAAATGCCTCCATCATATCCCATATTGATCAGGTGTCAACACTATTTTTTGGGTTGTGTGTGATGGAGTTGTTGGATATTGGCAACCAGTGCTTTGTCAGTAGACGTTTCAAACTTGAAAATTTTCTAATAGTGGGTTGTTAGGGTTTTTTCATGGTGTTGAGCTGTGCAGTTTAGTTTTTGCACATTTTAGCTTTTAGCTTTTTTTAATGCTCCATCAGGGAAATGAGAATTTAGCGTTAGGAAAACGCTTGAGACTTCTCTGGAGCGATGGAGAAAAGCTGTGTCGTCTTACATACTAGTCAAAACCACCCGACGGGCAGCCAGAATGAGAGCTAACTGGAAATTTAGTGTTATCCCTACATTTAAAGTACAAACCATTACAATGTAATAAAATTAATCCAGACATTTCCAGGGCAAGTGTGGCTGACCTTTTGTTCACCAGCTACTGACCCCAGGGTGAATGAACGAGCCTTGCAGAGAGAAATGTCTGTTGTTTGGCTTCAGTCCCTGGCATTTAAATTGCATTCCCTAATCGAATGAAAAGGCTGTCCTCTCTATCAGGTTACAGAATCCATGGCAACATTTGGCCTTTTATATCCATAATGTTAGCCTTTTTGTTTGCAGCCAAGTAGAGACACCTGGAGCAATGTTAACATTAACCGCTTTAGCATTAATAGCTTCATTATAGAAGAATTTCTGATCAGATAGCTGTTACTTTTGTTATATTGCTTCAGCTTGTATTGTTTTCATTTTTGATCTCCCTGCTTGGCAACCCGGCAATGATTTGCAAATTTTTTTGTCTTGATTAATTAAGCAATATAATTATCAGGAACTGTGCTGCAGTCTTTGCCCGACAAAGCTTCGGAGGGAAGACAATAGTAAGTCTGTTAGTGTGAATGCATTCCACGCGTCACAGATGCACGAGGATATTGGGAACAATGAGAGGAAAAGCTGCCTGCGAGAGGGGACAAAGCATGCCAGGCAAGCTCCGCACTGCACATACCGCCAGGGACATGCTGCGGGTTCCCTGGGACACAGATGCCTCGTTAGATTGCAGCTCGTCATCAGAGATTAATTCTCAGCCATTTGGTACAATAATTTACCCATTCCCCACTCTTTTAACTAGTGCTGCTTGCTGTAGAGGGGAAGTCTTTGTGCTCAGAAGGTTTATTTAACCTTGCCTACTTTTACTGCGGGCAACAGAAATAATGATTTTGCTGTTGGAAATTGGAATGAAGCAGGTGTTTGCAGTGGGCTGAATATTAATTTTTGCTTCACGGATAACTTGCAGTGACATTTGGAGTGCTCGCAGAAGGGGATCTTTCCCTCTATTTTTTTAATTGATTCCTGTCAAAGCAGGCTGTTTGTTTGTGGTGGCCGGCGGAGCCCCGCTTTCCCGGGCGGGCTGTCGGGTGCCGGACTCGGAGCGGAGCCGAGTGGGGAGCGCGCCCTGCACCTTCTGCTGGCCCACCCCCGGCCCTTGTTAGGGCAGGGCCCCGTGCAGATGGAAGCTGAGGAGATGCAGCTCCAGTGACTTTAATGACCCTTGGCGAGGCCACTGTATGTGCTGGGGAATGAATAATTCTGAGCCCTTGCGTGCACGCGCTCCGGCTGCGCGGCGCTCGGATCGAGGCGGGCTCCGAAGCCCTGGGCTCTGCTGCTGCTCTCCCCGGCTGGAATACACACACCCTGTCCCTGGGTGACATCTGTAAATTCTGTAGTGCACTGGTGACAAAGTCTGCCCCGCTCCCCAGCTCCTGGTGAGTGTGAAACCGTGAATGCAAGTGCTGTAAGCAAAACCTACTTGTCCAAAAAGCCCAGCAGGGAATTTCCCTGCCCCAGTGGCATCTGCTGATCAGACTTTGCATATCTGGTATTTGTGTGGTGGTATCACTTCAATACTAGTATGTACTTAACCTCCTTATCTGTACCTTTGCATTCTTTTCTCTTGCTGTCAATGCTTCAAGACAATGCATGGGATAAAAATTTCACTTAAAAATATTACTGCCTAGAGAGGCAAAACTTGATGCTCCATAATGTTATCATTTTGGTGGCATTGCTTTTCCTGTCCCCTTCCCTTCCAACTGCCTGGATAGTAATGCCAGCAGTAAATAAAAAAGATTGAAAATAAGGTAAAACCACTATGGTGATTTTAACATTTTTAACATTTTATACTTTTCTGGTTTTTTGAGGGGTGGGTAATTATTTTAAGTAAAGGAATGACAGAATAAGTGTGTGCAGAGACAGCTGTCATTTGCAGATGTTACATTAAACCAAAATTTCTTCTGTAATTCATTGCCACTTCTAATTAGAGGAATTCCCTAGATGCAGGGGATTTATATTATTCCCTTTGTCCATTTATTGAATGACTGTCACAGTCACCCACAAGCAGTTGGAGAAGAATAATAGAGGGTATTTATTTATGTGATAAGCCTCTGTACAGATGGAAAAAATCCGTAGCTTAAATATTGATAATTGTTACTGGCTTCTGTCTAGAGCTTTAGTTGGGGGGGTTGGTTTTTTTTCATTTTGAGTCTCTGAGAGGCAAATGAATTTGAGTACTTACAAGTACTGAAAGTTGTGCATTTAAACTTCAAAATTTTCTGTGTTTGGCAGGCTCAGGTCTGTTTTGTGTCTGCAGTTCTGGACACGGTTAATTTTTAGGAAGCATCTCTTGTTTGCAGTGTGGTCTTTATCTGCAGAGCCTTAGGTCACCAGAGGACGTCACACAGGGGTTTCCTGTGCAGGTGGCCCTGAAGGAGCAGCATTTGGGCAGCTGGACCCACTGGGCTGGGCCTGTTTGTGCCTGTCCTGACCCTGTGTCCTGCCCTTGAGAGAGCCCCTGCTCTGCCATCTCCTCTGCCTTCCACACACCTCCTTATCTTGGACCAGCTCAAGGTTTTTTTCTCTTCTATGAAGTCCATGGAAGGAGTTTGTAGAGGATTACCTGAAGTAAATATGTCTTTGCAAAGCCTCCTGCCATTGTTGGAGTCAGGCAGTGAATCAGCATCTCCTGTTGGGATCCCAGATGGAAAACAGCTCCTAATATTCACTGCCAAAGGCATATTGATTGCAAATTCATAGATGGCCTCAGTTTCTATGTGTACCAAGCTTGTGCTTAGCCAGCAGAACGTCCTGAGACGTGTGTGTCTGTGTAGTGTGCTGAGGGCAGTCATGGGGAATTTAAACACTCACCAGCTTGGGAGATGAATGTCACACTGTGAGTCTCAGTGTGGAAAACAATGTGGGCACACTGTATTGGTGGCAAAATGCTGTACCAGTTTCCTGCAGTGGTTCTGAAGCCTGCTTTTCTGTTTTGGGGACCCAGGTGCCGTTTTTCGGTCCCCTCTTCGACGGTGCCATCGTGACCGCGAAGCTGCTGCCGAGCCTGATCTGTGCCACGTGCATCAACGCCAGCAGAGCCGTCAAGTCCCTCATCCCACTCTACCAGAGCTTGTATCCTTTCTCCACGGGGCAGGTCTCCCCTTGGGAGGGTTCTCACTTGGAGCATCATCCAGCACAGAGGTAGGCTGGGGTGAAAATCCTCCCTGTTTGATTTCATTGGCAAAGGTCAGAGCTTTCTTCGTGTCCAGGTGGATGTTCTGAGTGGTTCACACCCAGCTGCCATCCGGTGTTTGCAGAATGGAATGGTAACAGCACTGGAGTCTCTCACCAGCAGCTTCCTTCTCACTGCTTGGTGGGCTTGGTCTTGATCTTGATCTCTGAGGAATGGTAACTTCCAGCTTGCTTTCACATTGATAGGAGTTGTGGACTGTGTGTGTCAGGCTGCTAGCTAGAGCTCAGCCACGCTCTTATCCTATCCAATTAACTTTATTTGGACTCATTACATTAATAAGACACGTGGGATTTGTTCTCAGACACAGATGTTTCAGGTCCCAAATTCCAGTTTCTTTCCAGTCACGCCTGTGTTTGGGCATTTTCAGAGCCTGTTTTCCACCAGTGGCTGGAAGGTAGCTGGAGGATGTGCTTCTGTGGGACAGGAGTGGTGACACAGGCTGTGCTTCTTGGGTTCTACACAGACCCACAGTGTTAGCACCCATGCTGGGGTCTTCTCATAATGCCATCATAGATTGCATAGCTTGTTTTGCTAATCACATCACTTACCTCGGGACAAACACTCGCTGCACTTTGCTTTCTCTGGGGAGCATTTGATTTGAGTATTTTTCTAATCACATGACTTTGAGAAAGAGTTTGTGAAATGTTTTGATCTTTGAAAGAACATTGAGGAATTAGTTTTTAAGATGCACATTTTTAAAACATGGAATATCCTCAGTGTACTTGTTAGAGTTTTGTTTTAAAAAATTAAACTAAAATAAATTTTATGCAGTATACTCTGCAAAAGTCATCAGAAATTAAAAGTATCATTGAGGTTAAATAGATTTGTGTTAATAACTAATTGTTTACTCATTGTAAAGCAAATGGTGGTGGTTGTGCAAACTGTGACAATGCCTGACAGGTGAGTCAAGGCTCGCTGTGTTTTTTTCTGTTTCCTGAGGAAAATCTAACAAATCACTGAATCTGTGATGTGCAGAATTTAGGTTAATCTGTTTCTCAGTGTTTAATACTAAAGTAATATTGTAGTAAAATGGACATAAGTAGCAGCAGTTACAAGAAGGGAGCTGTCCCAGCCCCTCACTCCCAGCTGGAGTCCTCCCAGCTCTGGCATTGAGCATTTTGTGAGTGAGCAGCACTCACCAGCTGGCCATGCTCCTGCTGTCCAAGGGGGTGTCCCCGAGGGTCCCTGTGCATCCCTGGGGTGACAGAGCTGCACAGACACTGCAGCACAGGGCACTGCTCTGCACAGGTCTGAGGCAGCATCTGTCTCCACATTCTTTTCCGCCTTTTTTTGCGTCTGCTTTTGCACCTGTGCTGTCCATAGTGACTCAACTGCCACTTGTCTGTCTGATAAATGAAAGTGGACTGAGGAACTCCTGAAATGGCACAAAGGGGATGTGGTGGGCAGATCCCTGTGGGACGATACTGGAGCAGGAGAGAAAGCTGTCTGTAATTCATTCCCTAGATAGTGCAGACTCTGGGGTACACTACGGCCAGCAGCTGGAATGTGAGTGTGTAGGTGTGTAAAGGTGATGTTTGGGCCTGTCTAATGCAGCTCCCAAAGGGTCAGTGATTCAGGTCTGGTGTTTGCTGTGCCAGCTGCTGCAAGCAGACCCAGCAGTGCAAACACTAAATGGAAGTGCCATTATCAGACTGGAGATGGAAATAACTCAAAAAATGCCAGTGAGAGGGAGAAACAGAAAGCAGTGTTCCTGGCAAAGCGTGTGTTTGGCACACAGTCATAACAGTAGCTGGGATGAGGGCTGCAGGCCGGAGTGAGGCAGAGCTGAGGAGGATCTGCAGCTTCCCTTTGGCCACATGGGTGATGTTAAAAGGCAGCATCCCTGCTAAGGGGCAGTAGCTGAAGAGGTTTGGACTCTGGTGTGGTTACAAATGGATCAACACTTATCTGGTGTCAGTGGTTCCGTGGGGATGAGGTGCTGCATCCGTGGTGCTCGTGCTGGAGTACCTGCAGGGACTCATCCCTGTTCTGCCCTGGCGGTGCTGGGAAGCCGGGGCAGCATCTTGCCAGCAGTGGCAGCTGAAGTCACTTGTTGGAAAGTCTGCAAACTCCGGCTACAGCTGCACTTGTCAGGGGCTGTAAGGGAAGTGTAATCAGCCACAGAGATTAATTTGCATCTCAATTAGGAAAGAGTCAGGAGGAAGCTGTAGGGTCTGTTGCTGGAAGGTTGTGGAAGAAATCTCATCAGGCACAAAAGGCTCCCGACTTGGTGCTCCATCGAGCGGAGGACAATATCTGAGTCTGGTTTCCATGGGGACCGGGACCGCAGAGCCGCGGGAGCATCTCGCTGCCCGCAGTCGCTTGGTCGTGATGACACAAATTCCACTGCCATGCCCAAATGCACATTTCTGTTGCAAATCTCTTTGAAAATTAAGAAGGTAACTACGGCAAACCACGTGTTTTTTTAAAATCTTTTTTTTAAGTTTATGTAACGCTTTTGGTTTTAAGGAATTCATTAGGGCAAGAGATTGGTTAAAAAGCAATTAACTATATTTAAACTTCAGTTTAGAGCCGTTCTGGCTACAGGTTCTTTGTGTCCATCACAGGGCACATGATGGCACTCCTGGGGTGCTGCATGCACAGCTCAGTTGTCTTTGGAACAGTGCTGTCTCTGCTGCTGCTGCAGTGCTTCCACAGGCAGGGATGATTGTGCATCAGTTTATGTTCCAAATTCCCATTTTATTCCTCCTTGGTGCCATGGAGCAGAGAGGCTGAGTGGCTGCAGCCCCTGCTAATTGGGACTCTTGCCATCCTTGAGTAACTGCTGAGCTTGAGGCAGTGTGCTCCAGCAGCCTCTCCAGGCTGCTTTTTCAGGCAGTATCTGACTTTTAATGTGACTGGGACTTACAGGAATCATAAGCAATAAGATGACTTAGATTTTACAAGAAAAAAAAAAATTTAAGCTTACTACAATTGTTGTATTGAAAGGAATATACTTATGCAGATTTTTGAGTGCATCCAAGCCCCTTTTGTATGTGCTGGGGAAAGGAAGGAATAACCTCTCTTGCAAACAATTAATTACATGTCATAACTAAGCACAGGTCTGTTCTGTTTCCAGCAATGCTGAATTTTTAAAAAACTGGTGGGAGTGGGGCTGTAAAAATGCATCTCTGAACGCTCTTCCAGCCTGTGTGAAACAAGCTGTGTGCTGGGAAGGATTTCTGAACACTTGTGTGATCTGGAGTGCCGTGGCACTGAGCTGCAGCAGAGCTCCTCTCTGGGAGCTGCTCTTGTCTGAGGATAAATACTGGGGGAAACCAGGGTTTGGGTTGAAGTATTACAGGTCTGATTGGCAACTGCTGTCTAAGCTGACAGTTCCTAAGCTCAGGTGCTAGTCAGCCTTCAGACATGAAAATGTAGCTAGTTTAGCAGGTATCAGGCCTTTTGGTTGACCCATAATTCAATCCCAGAAAGACACTGGGATTTGGAGATAGTGATGTCTGAGCAAAAAGCTGTTCTTAAAACGCCCAGGGAAATGCAATTCTCACTGCCCAGGTTGTCTTTCCAAATGGAGCCATTTCTTTTCTTCTTGGATTGAATTGGCCTAATTTAAAAATTGTTTCAGTGTTATTTTGAGTGTCTTATCACTTCGGGTTTTTTATTTCCTCCACCAATTCAGATAACTCTTGCACTCTCAGTCCTTCCTGACTGGGATGCTAACTGAATTTAGAGAAAAGTAGGAAATACCCCAACATGTCTGAAATGTTACCTCAGCTTTGAGGAGCTCTTTGTAACCTGCCTTGGGGAGGGTGGAAGGTGTCCTGTGTGTGAGCACCAGTGGGTTTCTTCCCTGTGTTTGTTTTTCAGTGACTTCTGGTAGTCTTCAAGTTATGTTCTTAGCAATTCAAGCTACTGCATGTACTTCCTGTGAGTGGCTAAATGGGGAGCTAGTTCTTGTTGGGGTTTATTAACACACTGATTATAAAATTGTCTCTGTGCGCAATCTCGCTTTTGGCATGAGTTGTTTGTTCTCATGGCAGCAGAGGGGTTTGATCTCCTGCTGCCTGGTGACTCCTGCACTCCACTGTGCTGTGACATGGGGCGCTGGAGGTGCCTCTGCATCGGAGCAAGCACAAAGAGCATGGTGGGGATGAGAGCTCCTTGTGTGATATCTGAGCACTGGATGTCACCGTTTCCCAGCTCACACTTTGCACTGCTTTTTGTGGACCTGAGGAAAACACAGCCCTTACCCCGGAGAAGTAATTTGATACCTGAGTAACTCTCTCACTGTTTTCTCCACTGAAATGGCAGTGGTGTGCCTGCTGACATGTGCCAGGCAGCAGCTCATGGGGGTAAAGCCAAAACTCCGTCTAAACACATAACAAAAAAGACATCCATAACTTTAAATCATTACAACTCATCCAGATATTGACATACTAATATATCCTAGATGTGTTAATATCTGGAACCAAGAAGATTAAGCAAAGAACATCAGCTTCAAATTCTGAATTAAATCCCTTTCTTGGCTTAAGCCAATTTCTGATTAACCTAATAGAGAGTGCCCAATCTGCTTACCTGCTTTATCTGTGAAAGAAAGGTATTTGCTATGATGGACTTAATTGTGTGAATGGCTGTCAGATGTTCTGGAGGCTCGTGTGGTGTCAGACACATTTTGTGTCCCTCTCAGTGTGTGTTTTGTGGCACTGGCATTTGGAGCTCTGCTGTGGGTACAAGGCAGTGTTTGATCCCGCCGGGGAAATGAGATGGAAAGCCTGTTATTCCTTTCAGAGAGGGTTCACAGTTTGTCCCCTTTATTTCATCCCAAGAAGTGGTGCCCTCCAGCTATATCGATGCTGATAGAAATGGCTATGAAATTCTAAAGCCTGTGTCACAGGAGCTGTGACAATTTATGTGACAT